AGGTTGATGTCGTTCTGCATGCAGATGGTTCTGTCAGTATTATGGACAACGGACGTGGGGTATGCGATTTGTTCAACCTTTGCTACCAAATTTAACCTTCTTAGCTTTTGCTTTCTTACATCTAACCCACACATGGAGAGCAAACACATATTTGAACTATAAAATATCCTCATTTTGTCATTGTCGTTGATATATTAAGCTTTCTTGCAGATACCCACGGATTTGCATCCTGCAACAAAGAAATCTTCCCTGGAGACTGTGCTTACGGTATTGCTACTTAAAGACAACTATTATACTTTCACGATATTACTACGGTTTTGTTTAAAGTTTTGTCGAGGCTCCGCAGTTTATATGGAGCTTCATGATCACAGTATTAGTAGCTCATGAATTGTCTTGGTTTGTTAATTCATTAGTTAAAGGGTCTAATATGGAAGTTTGAATTTCATTATCTCATGTCAAATCGAAATCTTTTCCGTTATTGGTGTTTTATTCGATACACTTTTACAGACTATATAGGTCTATTGGGGTTGAAGATCAAAAAATTTCAAAGACTTGCTAATATCCCTCCTAGGAAATTCTTGGCGTTTCTCTTTATTGAAAATAACTGGGAATACTTATCGTTATCACTTCATTAGATCGTGCAATTTATCTGGCATGCTTCTTAATTGTGCAGGTATTACATGCAGGTGGCAAGTTTGGTGGCACGAGTAGTGGTTACAGTGTATCTGGTGGATTGCATGGTGTAGGTTTATCAGTTGTAAACGCTTTGTCTGAGGTGTGTTCCAATCTTTACTCGCGTGGCTTCTTCGTTCCTTTTGGATATAAATATGTTCTGTATATCCCCCATCCAGTGATTTGTGAAACCTTAGGCTACTATGGGATTATTAGGTGGAAAAAGTTGGAATATTTCCTTATTGAATTTTATAGCATATTGATATCAAGTACGATTCCATCTTAAGAACTGCGGGACATTTGGAATGACTTGAAGCTCTATTGCAGCTGATGGCTATAATTAGCAGTATAGCTAACTTTAAAGCTTCCTCTAACTATTGTTTTACAGGCCCTGGAGGTCACAGTTTGGAGAGACGGGATGGAGCATAAGCAAAATTATTCTCGTGGAAAGCCCATAACTACACTCACGCGCAGTATCCTGCCGGCAGAGTCAAAGGGGACTAAAGGGACATGCATCAGGTTTTGGCCTGACAAAGAAGGTTTTGCCTGTCTTCCACTCTTTACTACTTTTCTCTCCAAAAAGTTGATTCGATGATTAATCTTTCCTTTATGGAATAAACTTCTTTTCAGTATTCACAACTGCAATTGAGTTCGACCATAACACTATTGCTGGACGAATTAGGGAGCTTGCATTTTTGAATCCTAAGGTGAGATTACTTTTCTTAAAGCGAGGTCAGCCATGACACTTTTCATCAAGACATGTGAATTCATTAAAGTTTACTTCATGGAGCATCCTTAGCACTTTTGGCAGAGGCATAATTCTTGTCATAACAAATTGCTTTATTTTTATGTTTGCAGGTTACAATATCTCTTAAAAAGGAGGATGATGATCCTGAGAAGAACCAATATACTGAATATTTTTATGCTGGAGGATTAACTGAATATGTTAGCTGGCTAAATACTGATAAGGTGAGAGTGTACACACAGATTCACGTTTTATATGTGTGTGAAGCCTATCAGATTCATTTTTAGAGTAGGCTAAGAATAGAATTTTGAAAATGTTCTGTTAAACAATATTCGATGCAGTAATATCTGTGAATGGCTTCATCTGCTAACTTAAGCTTGCAAGATATGTTGAGCATGTCTATGGACTATTATAAATCAATTCATACATAAGTGACCTCTTATGCATTAATCTCTTCATTTTCATAATTATTATAAATTACTTATTAAACTCGCAAACATTAGCTGACAATTTTTTTTTACGTAGAATCCAATTCATGACGTGCTAGGTTTCAGGAAGGAAGTAAATGGTGCCACCATTGACGTTGCTCTTCAATGGTATGTTTGTTTTTCCTACTTTTACGTCATTCTATTATCCAATTCGTATTCAGTAAAAGTTGTAAACCTTTGTTCATGATATTCTCGACATGCTGTTGTTTGTTTTACACAAGAAAGCAGACCTTATATGACTATTCTAAATTTATCTGATCTTATTGGTTTGGCACATTTTTGTACCAGGTGCTCAGATGCATATTCAGACACAATGCTGGGATACGCCAATAGTATTCGCACTATTGATGGTGGAACACACATCGAAGGTGTGAAAGCTTCATTAACTAGGACTCTTAATAACCTTGCCAAAAAGTCAAAGGTTGTTAAGGTATGACATCAGTAACCAGCTTAGCTTATGTACTTATACATTGTTGAACTGTCGAATGTATATATATATATATATATATACATGACGCTTTTTCACTAATTCAAGCATTGTTTGTTTATAATCGTGTATGATATCTATAAATTTTTTGTTGGCTGCGTTTTCAGGAGAAAGATATTAACTTAAGTGGGGAACATGTTAGAGAGGGATTGACCTGTATTGTCTCAGTCAAGGTTCCTAATCCTGAGTTTGAAGGTCAAACAAAGGTACTTGAACCCATAATGATTGTGTCTTTATGGATGATTTTAGTTAACATGAAGCTATTTTTCTGTCTCGTTTGTGCAATTTACCCTTACTAATGTAATTTGTCTCCTAACCCCTTTCCCCCTTGCAGACAAGATTAGGAAATCCAGAGGTGAGAAAAATTGTTGACCAATCAGTTCAGGAGTATCTCACAGAGTATTTGGAATTGCATCCAGATGTGCTCGAGAACATTGTTTCCAAATCCCTGAACGCTTACAAGGTATGCTTTTAACGCACATATCAATACTTCTGACCTACAAGCGCACACTGAAACGCATGTTATTTATCCCCTGCTCTGCTTATAAGTAATGTGTTAGTTGCGAACTTTCAACCAAATTGTTATGAAAGTCTACCTCACCACGCTTTCTCTTTCTAGGCTGCTTTGGCTGCCAAGAGGGCAAGGGAGTTGGTCAGATCCAAAAGCGTCTTGAAGTCATCATCACTTCCTGGGAAACTATCTGATTGCTCATCAACAAATCCCGAAGAATCTGGTATGTATTAACAGCATGAAAATGTTTGTATAAAAGCTGAACATGCTTCAATTATGTGGCTACAGCAATTAACATCTAGTATTGACATCCCTTTGCAATCCCTCCAGAGATATTCATAGTCGAAGGAGATTCTGCTGGTGGCAGTGCAAAACAGGGACGTGACAGACGTTTTCAGGTAATCACACTTATACCACTATTTCATTGTGTCACTATACAAGTGGAGGAAGACCAGACAATACTAGAAGTCTTCTTATCAGCCAAAAGACATTGTCTCTTCTGCTGCAAAGCTCGAGATATCAGCTATGTCTTAATTGAATTATGGGACAGTGTGTCGTGCTCCTGTTTTACAGTGCCTAACACAGATTTTGATATATGTAGGCAATTCTTCCGTTGAGAGGTAAAATTCTCAACATTGAAAGAAAGGACGAAGCAGCCATGTATAAGAATGAAGAAATTCAAAACCTTATTCTTGGCCTTGGCCTCGGAGTAAAGGTACTATATCTATGTGTTTCCTTGTATCTCTTTTGGGTAATTGTGGAAAGCTCAGTGTAACAAAATAACTGGTTTCAGGGAGAAGATTTTAAGATGGAAAATCTGCGTTACCATAAGATTATCATCTTAACAGATGCAGATGTTGATGGTGCACACATCCGGACACTTCTGTTGACCTTTTTCTTCAGATATCAGGTATCAGTTTTTGGATTAAATAAAAATGTCCCTTAGATACTCGGTGAATTTAAATCTGGTTGTAAACTTTAACTTAATATTTCTTTCGACAGAGAGCCTTGTTTGATGCGGGTTGCATATACGTTGGCGTTCCACCTCTTTACAAGGTAAGTCTCATAATTAATGATCTTTCAACACATTTGTGTTTTAGATTTTGGAATTCCTAACCAAAAAAAAAAAAAAAAAAACTACTAGGTTGAGAGAGGAAAACATGCACAGTATTGCTATGATGATGCAGAACTCAAAAAGATTACCGCTAGTTTCCCTGCAAACGCATCGTACAACATTCAAAGGTTTAAAGGTAAACAAGAAAAAACTGAGCTATGTTGTTATCTACAATCATCTGGCTTCTCACATAATAAATATCATTGTTGTCGAGGGAACTCAGAGATTCTTTGGGATCCAATTTTACTTTTGCTAGATTTTATTCACCACTAAGATATTGTTCTGCTGATTCAGGTTTGGGAGAGATGATGCCTTTACAGCTTTGGGAAACAACAATGAATCCAGAAACAAGGATACTGAAGCAACTAGTTATCGAGGATACAGCGGAAGCTAACATGACCTTCTCGTCTCTTATGGGTGCTCGGGTAAAGCCTATGAATTGCCCAACTTTGTTGATTTTTTTGTGTGTTAAAAACTGACACATTCTCAAGCTTCAACTGCATTCTTTTGTTCTCATGCCGTTTTTCTCTTCAACCAGGTTGATGTCCGGAAAGAACTCATAAAAAATGCGGCGACTAGGACCAATCTGCAGAAACTCGACATATAGCAGAGATTCGTTGCAGGCTTGAAGAAAGAAAAAAGTAGTTTTTCCTCTGGAGGAAGACGGTGGAAGGTTCATGGAGACATCATATTTTGCCTTTAGATTACATTAGTCATGTTAGTTCTTCCTCTGGAGTCTGGCCTATCACTGTTACAATTGGTGACATAATCTTGTCGGTGTAAAAGTTTAAAGTACCCTTAAGAAGGAGATTTTTATTTAGTCGATTAATGCAAAAAATACAAGAAGATAGAAACTTTTACACAAGAACATCGATCGCATCATGGAAACAAATATATAAAAACAACACAGACAGATACATCAATCAAAGAACATAGAATATATATAATATGGAGGTTCAAAGAATGGATGATGGTTCTCTTCTCTAGGCCTTGGAGTCTCCATCAAAGCCGCGTTGGAGAAATCCAACGGAGGAGAGATGCGAGACATCGCTCCAGGAATCGATGATCCATTTCTCGTCGCGGAAGTGAACAACATTCACCGAAGCATTAAGGAGTTTTCCGGCGGAGGAAGCTTGCGTGATCCTCAAATAAATTGCCCTCAACACTCCTCCATGAGTCACCACGATCACTCTCTCTCCTTCAATCCCTCACATTAGTTGTAAATCATCATTATTTGATCAAGTAATAAATATATAACTTAATATATTCAAACTTTCTATTGATTTAATGTTTTTTAGCATGATCAAGTTTATTGTCTAGATGGATGTATAATATACCTTTGTGCTTCTTGGCAATTTGCTCAAGAGCATGCATGGATCTCTCACAAAGTTGGTCAAAGCTCTCTCCTCCTCCCTTTTGATTTGTACATGCGTTCGAAAGAAGACCACATTGAATATCAGATACAGTAAAAAAAAAAAATGAACGATAGAGAAAGGAGTGATAAAAATACGTGAATTAAGCTTACAGGAATCTCGAGGTCATTTTGGGAAGAAAAAAAAGCAGAGTAAGCTTCAGGTTCTTTCTCTGCTCCTTCTTTCCAATACAGCCCTTGAAGACTACCCACGTGCCTCTCCTTTAACTCAGGTACTTCAGTCACCTGTACGCATATATATACATTAATTACACAATACACATGTGACTTTTTTTTAAAAAAATTACAACTTCATACAAAAAGAAAATCGGAGCTCCTAAAACTTTGGAATCCTTACTTAAAAAAAAAAAAAAACTGGTTTTCTATATAAAAATAGTATGGTGTTTTTTAGAAACAAATATGTAGAAATTTTATTGAATTTCTCTATCTTTTCCAAAATGATGTACATTCATGTTATATAATAATTGTCTTGTACAGTAAATAGAGAGATTTTACAGACCTCGGAACAAAAACAAGTTTCCGCGATCTTGAGAGCAGTGTCTTTGGCTCGCTTGAGGTCTGATGAATACACAGCTATGGGTCTCTCCTCTTTTCCCAATCTCTCAGCGATCTAATGGTTATTTAAACAAAACAAAAAAAAATGATCATGCATGCACGTGTTAGTAAAATATATATGTAAATCTGTATATTAATATGTATATATTATACTACATAGAAGGAGATAGATTTGAAGGGGATTTGATCTTAACTGCAACAGCCTGCTTTTGTCCAACTTCGTTAAGTTCTGATTCAATTTGTCCCTGCATTTGGCAATTTTAAGTAAACTATATGTTTATTGATTTGCTTATGTACATGCATGCATGTATCTGAAATATATGTATATACCTGGATTCTTCCGGCAGCATTCCAAGTGGTTTCTCCATGGCGAACAAGAACAATCTCAGTCACTTCACTTTTAACTTTGACATCTTCACTCCATTTGAACTCCTTCGATGCATCGATACTACATTTTTATAGATTCTCTATTAGAATTATTACATATGATTGTTCAAACAAAAAAAAATATATATTTATTACATATGTGCATGTATCCGAACCCTCACATCAATTATTTATGATCAATGCTCTAAAAATATATTGTTTAATTAAACTTTTCATCTTGATCAGTGGAGCATTATAACGATGAAAAAAGCTATATACAGTGAATTAGCAAATCTGAGTCAGTTACAGTTTTAAGACGTGCATAATACTATAACAGAATAATTTGTATATAAGGTTAAACATAGTGTACGTCACGAATAATAAATTAGAGGTGGTTACTTTTAACGAAAAAATAAATAAATAGTAATCAAAAATAAATCAAAATACCATTCATGGCCCATGTTATTGGAAGAGAATAAGAAGAAGAAGAAGGGAGAAGAGCAATGAGAGAAAGAGGTGTTGGCACTTATGATAAATCGATTTGGGCTCTGCTTTTATAACCTTTTTGCATGAGGAAAGAAAAAACAATTTTTTCAGTTTCTATTTCTATTATTTTAGTTAGTGGGAAAAATAATGAAAATGATTATAATTGTGGCAGCTCATCGAGTGATAATGTTGGTCATATATATGTTAATTGCGAAAATATTATATCGTTTTATAAAAAAAATAATTTGAACTTATAGGTATTGTGACCACGTGTAATGTCGATTCTTGATTTTTTTCAGATCGGATTCCTTTACAGGATCAAGAAAAAACACGTAGGGAATCTCCTGTGAATTAGAATATAACCACTACATTTTTTTCTTTTAATTTGGACACCTGATGAATAATGATGAGTGTATACGTAAGGCAAAACAATAGAAAAACTAAACTCGTGAAGTATATTTGTGATTAATCTTCGTATATATGTGTAGTTTTTCGGAATTAAAAAAATTCATGAATAAATAGTTTGTGTATCTGATCTGCAGGCGACATGTTATTCGAGTAGATGTTACAAGCCCAAGCTATGTAACAAAAGGGCACATGACGAAATTAACATGTCTTTATGTATGTATGTGTGTAATTAACCTAGAAGGCTGGATATAGAGAACAAACAACGGTCGTTAAAAACAGGTCATGTGGAACCGTGACAGAGAAATAAATAGATTCACTTCCTCACAATGAGGATCGGTGGTCGTATAGCAACTTGCCACATGGAGGAAAGAATCTCCTTTGTTTTTTTATAATTATTATACCTAATCGCCATCTTTTGTCCAATTGGCGATGTTTTATAATCGATCCTAAATTGCATTTTACTTTTCGAGATTGGATCGACATTGTTCAAAACCGTGCAAATGTATTAACTTTAGTAAAAACTAATTTTTTGTTAATGAAAGACTTGGATTTAGTCAAACATTAGGTTAATAAGAACACTATAAATTAAAACCAGTGATCCACAAATATAGATGATGGCATTAGGGCATCAGCACTGGAAAGACTACGTAGGAAACATTTAAAACATTTTTTTATCATTAAAAAAAATCGAGTTTGTTAAAAAAAAATAAAAACAAAAAAAAAATTTGACAAATTATATTTTGACACGTCAGCAGAGACCCGCCTCTTCCACTTCTACGCAGAGAGTCTCTTCTGTTTTAAAGGCTTACCATATTAATAATTTTTTTTTTTTTGCTTTAAAACCTTTAGAAAGGTCACTATTACAGGTGCTCTTATATGATCATGGATTTTATTACTTATAGTAAATTCAAACCGAATATCAGAGCATACTAAATTAGTTTCTATTTGGTAAAAAATGCGAAATAAAATTAAGAGAAAAAACAAATTAAACTGGCGAGAGATTCCACATGGGATAGATGGACAAATTGCCAGCGTTGCCTATATTGTTTGGTTCCAATCTAATAAGGATTCGTATCACTTTTCTCGTTTTTCCTTTTTATATTCAAGTGCGTTAGTTAACCTTAATGATATTCTCACAATCATACATAATAAGAAGACAATTTTTTTATATTAAAAAAAACCATGAAAAGATTAGTTGAACTGAGAGAGATCACAATATTATTCAATTTGGAAACTAAACATGTTTTTAAAACTTATAAATTTTATTTTATAGGAGAGCTGAATACAAATCACGTCAATAGTTATAATGAGTATCTCTTCACACCTAATACAAATCCCGTATGTATTATTTGACAAACTAGTTCTTCCTTTATCCAACGTAGTTTTTACAGTAAGAAACAAAAAAAAGACTTTGTGCTTTTTCACACTCTGCACATCTGAGATCACTATGTACCACTCTTATTCTTCGCATTAGTCCTACTTTTTAAACAAAAATCTCGAGTTGAGCTTTATCACCGACCGATTTATTTATTGTCATTCGTAGCCTATGTGTTTACTTAAATTTTTTTTTTTCACTAATTACTAAAATAGTGGAATAGTGTGACCATGTTATCCTGATTTGGTTCGTTTTACGAAAAACCTCATGAGCTTTCTTGTTCTTCTTCTTACCTACCATACGTTTTCTCTTTCTCCAAAATTCAACTGCTTGGGGGTGTTTGGGCCCAACCCAATATTTAGTTGTTGGATCCATTACTACTGTTTCACCTGTCTTAATAAGTTGTAAAAAATTACAAAGTTGTTAAAATATTTCTTAATGAATTAATTGATCAAATAAATGCATTTTGTAACTTTTTTAAGAGTTGATATCAATTCCCTAATTAGACGTCTGTGAATTAAAGACATACCAGATTAAGGCAAAATTTGTTCCTCTTTACCGTATGGCTTATATAGTATAGTACTAGTATATGTAAAGAAAAAAAAAAAAAAGGGAGTTGGAAAAGTCAAAATCCCTTCGAATAACAACAAGATGAAACTCCCTCCCTCTCTTTTAAATAAACATAAGACTTTCTACATGATGTAAGAAAGCAAATACTTGACGAAACTCGTGGTTGGTGCTTCCTTGCAGTAGAACAACACTTGTAATCTGCTCGCTTCTGTGATCGACAAAGTAAAGGTACAAGTGTTCTGCATAGACAAACTGCCCCAAACCAGGAGCGCCCACCATTTTCGAAGCGTGGGGCCTCCTAGGGTCATCTTCAGGAAAACGTAGGCGTAGGACTTGTTTCGGCCACTCTCGTTTCTGGGCATCCTCTAAAACCCACACGCACCAAGTGGAAGAGTGGTGGGCAAGAGCTAGTTTCCCATGGTAGTTGATCAGAACTGCACTAGCGGCCCTGCTAGAACCAAAGCCCTCGAGAAACAAGGGAGAGATTTCTAAAGTTTCAGACCTCAAATCAAATGCGGCCAATAATGGTTCATTGCCGTGAAAATAAGGGGAGGCAATGAAATACAAAACGCCATCTACGCACACAGAGGCATCCCCTAAAGCATAGTGAGGAGTGGAGCATCGGATCCTTCTCCATGAACAGCTTTCTTGAGTTGGAGATGATCCCAGTGTGAGCACTTGATGTTCACAAAACCGTGTAGCATTGGTCAAGCACAATACTTTATATTGGGCATCGATTGGATCGTATCCTAAAAAGGACCTGACAATCATCTCAGTGGTTTCCACAGTGGGTAAGGTTATGGACTTGCATGTGCTGGGATTACACACCACTTGTTCTCCGCCATAGAGAAAACTGATGAGCCCATGGACATAACTAGGCATGTTGTAGCGCAGTTTCTTCAACTGGCACACCGTGCTTGATACGAAATCAGGTGATTCCTCCTCCACAGTAAACCTAGCGATCTGGCCCGGAGGACTTGGCACGGGCTCACACGATTTGGAGAAAAAAAGCCACTTTTCTTCATAACCCTTTACACGGCTACTGACTGCCAGGAGTAAGCGAGGCTGCGACCGAGACGAGAAACATCTCCTCAAATCCTCACCGCGGATCACTGATGCCCAGAACTTGGACACCCAAACCAACCTGCTTAGAGACTTCGCGGGTAACCTCGAGAAGATCTCTACCAATATGTCCACCGGAAGTTGATCCACATCCTTCTCTGCCATCTGCTTTGGTTTCTCAAGAAATCAATTTTCTCCTTACCGATTACCTTTATACATCTATGTAAAGGGGAAAAACAGAGGATAAAAGGAATATCAAAACTTTCCCTTTTCCGTTTTGCTGGTTTTAAAAAGCACAATAATAATTTGTTTTTTGGAAGGTCCGTTTGAACCACTAATAATTACTAAGATGGCCTTTTAATTTCGACACGCATCACAGTAAAATTAAATAGATATTATTACACCATTGCAAGTTGCAACAACAATTAGCACCTTGTCTTTCAGTTATTAGAAGTTCCAACTTTTCACCATCCACATTCGTGTCTCCCTCACTTCTTCTTCTTCTTTTCGTGTTTCTTCAGGCAATGTTTGGTTTCTCTCGTTGCGTTTGCATAATAACCGCCACAAGCTCGAGCACTGTTGTTTCTCCTCCACGTCACTGGCTAGCTGTACCGGGACTGGAACAACTCCCAATATCTTGTACGCTTATAGTGTGGAAAGCTTGTGCGACAAGAGAGACTTTTCTTCTCTGAGACGGTGCTAATGTCGATATGGCTTGTCGCAGAGCATAATCAAGCATCCATTCCTCTGAGTTCCTCTTCCCTCCCACGGAAAAACCCGAGGAGTCTTGAGGCTGAGTCTCGTCTAAATCGCTTTAGAAGAATGACATTCTTCACATTGTTCCATCCTTTCACTCTTTTCTCGTTAGACTTTAGGTTTGACCTGAGAGTTTCTTCTTTCATCGGACGATCAATCTATGGAAAAGCGATATAACTGATTGTCAGGTTATGATATATAAAAATATTGATTAATATATAAAAGCTAGTTTACATAATTCTAATCTCAAAACAAAAACAAAAAAAATATAAAAAGGTCCTTGAAAACGTTTTGGTAAAAGCAGAGCAAATCAGAGAACATAAACGAGTCGCTGACGCTAAATCTTGAAACAGATATAAAATGCTTTTAACTCTTGAAAAATGTAGCAACTAAAACTAGAGAGTGCTATTCATCACACATAACAATTTATCCCACAGAACAGAACAAGAACAAGGAACTATAGAAGCAAGAGGCAAAGATTTTACTCTTTAGTCCAGCCAAGACCAGGTCTTTGAACATCCGCTTGCGGTTCTTCATAGTCGCGTGCAGGATTGTCATTCGCATTAGCCTATGTGTTTACTTAAAAATTAAATCACTAATTGCTAAAATAGTGGAATAGTGTGACCATATTACCCAGATTAATGTGGTTCGTTTTACAAAAAACCTCATGAGCTTTCTTGTTCTTCTTCTTGCCTTACCATACGTTTTCCCTCTCTCCAAAATTCAAATGCTTGGGGGTGTTGGGGCCCAACCCAATATTTGGTTGTTGGATCCATTACTACTGTTTCACCTGTTGTGGCTTGACAGAAACAATCGCCCATATCTGGTGGGAGTGCCCCTTTGCACAATCAGCCTGGTCTCAAACCCCCATCTCCCCGAGCCCATCCTCAATTGCAGTGAATCCAGACCCACGAAGCATCTTCCGAGCGCTCTATAGAACCAAGAACATCCCGGTTACAGGAGTAACGATAACCCCAATCTATACCTGGATTCTCCGGTTCTTCTGGAAAGCACGAAATAAGCTCGTATTTGAAGCAACAAACACAGGAAGTCAAAACCTGGTGACGAAAACAATAGTCGAAGTCCAATACTGGCAAATAGCAAATGTCACTAGTGAGACCCAACAAAAGACCAATCAAGCAGCAAGACACTACCCTCTCCGCCCCTCAGCCTCGATCTGTTTCTCGGACGGAGCTTGGAATGCTGCGGATAAGACGGGGGGCATGGGATGGACCCTCCAAGACCCATCGGGTTCCCTGTTACTCCAGAACTCATCGGCAAGGCGTTTCACAGCATCTGTTCTAGTTCCAGAAGCATTAGCCATCTTCGGGGGTTTAAGAGAAGCTTTAGCATTAGGAATCAGAGATCTCCACATGCATTCGGACTCGGAAGTCCTCATCAACATCTTCTCAACAGGATCAGAGATGATCGAGATTACATGCATTCTTGACGACATCAGAAGCCTTGCCTCTCGCTTCACCTCCCTTTCTTTTAGCCATTTAGGCCGTAAGAATAATGTATCAGCAGACAGACTTGCTAAGGCAGCCATTCTAGCTCTAGGCTCACTGAGCCGTGTATGAACATCTTTTATTAATGCATCGGTTGACCAAAAAAAAAAAAAAGATGTACACACCACTAATATTAGTAAATAAGATTATGACAATTGCGTTTGATATTTGAACATAAGTACAATTTAAAAATCTGTGATTATTATAATCTAACACATTAATGTTTCTCTAATCATCCAACCATGCAGTAGAAGAGATAAGATACGAATATCAAAAATTTGGTTGAGCAAGACATAGTTCAATCTCTAGGGATTGCAATCGCCGTTAAACCCAGTGAAGGTATGATGGATTGATGACCAGTCTACTGTGTTTTGACTGCTTTAGTAATCTTGATTAATTACTCTTATACATGAACCGCGTCTTGGGATTGAATTTTTGGCTAGTCTCAAGACTTCTAAGAAAATCGATTGCATAATGTTTTCTGCGGGTACAATGTGACAGATCTATGTTGGTGACGTGTGTTCAATTGAACTGTGATTTAATGTCATTTTCGATCGGGAGAGCATATGCTCCTCATACTTGCGGTAAACATATCATTTTTTTTGTAGGTCAAGATATTGGAGTCCGACTCTTCACAATTTATCGAGTAAGTTTTACTTTTCATTTATTTAGTGGATTCAGTATTGCTTAGAAAATGATAATTTACCTTAAATAATAGATTCTTAGAAAAATCTTATAAAAAATAGTCAATTTCACCAAATTTGTTTGACTACTGAATTAAAAAGAATAAAATATACAATATAAAGTTTTAAAGTTTAAACTAAAATATTTTGATATTAAATGGGCTAAACTAATATATTGGGCTTAATACTAATTTAGATTTAATAAAGCATCTAGGGTTTTTGATTCTCACTATAAATATATATACCAATGGCTAGATAGACATTTGGAGATGCACAACATCCTCTATAACAACCCTGAAGCAGAGAAAAATTGATCATTCTAGTAGCATAATTATTGATGTGTTGATTGTTCTCTCCAATATCATAAGGTATGTTCTTTATTTCTAGAAATATTTTTTAAAAATTTACAAAACTACTTTTCATGAATTTTTATTCAAAATTAATTGACAATTAGCAGATCATGACATGTCCTTTTTATATTATTGAAATTAATATATTATAAAATAATTCAATATATATTTATGAAATTATACTGTTTATGATTTTTTATATGATTCAGACCAGTAAAACTGGTATTTTAAATTAATAGCAGAATTATTGAACAATTAAAAAATGGTGTGTAAGACGAATTGAACTGAATATTATTTTTTACTGAATAATTTTAAATTATTTAAAAACTATTTTGAATGGTTTTTTAGTTATATATTTTTTTAATATTAACATAATCATAGTTTTTAAAATATGAAAAACAGTAAAAACATCATGAATAATATGAATACTAAAACTGTGTAATTTTGAAAAAACTAGGTACCATTCAAACACATTGATTAAATTTGAAAACATAACCAATTATTATGAAAGCATACTTCTTAATAAATAAATCATATCAATCTATGATTTATTAAATAAAACGTATGAGTATTCTTTCCTTTTTTGGGGCGTATAAAATATTCTTCAAACACAAAATTATTTATTAGATATTCTGTGTATTAAATCAGTTGTTATCGACGCTGCGTTAAACGGTATACTGTAATTTTTTGTTTCAAATCTATTTAGAAGAATTTTGAATCTATCTTTCAAATATATAAAATAAGTTTTGTTGTATATCCCATCATCGCTTCGGTGCTATGTCTTCATATTTTCGATGTTTGTTTGTCCGTATAAATAACTGACGGTTTCATAATTTTCTGGAAAATGGGCAAATTAATTCAAAAGGGACATCGCTGATGATTCACAAAAGTAAGGTACGTCTCTCTCTCTCGATCTCGAGATTCTCTCGCGTATTTTTCGGATTCGCTTAAGGTACCCATAGGGGTGATGAAAGTTCTCTTAGTCTCGTCTAATCTCTCTTCGTATAATTTAGAACTATCGAATCTGTTACTCCGTTGGATTTGTTGCGCGCGTGCTCGGTGTCAGGAATCGAATTGATCCATCTCTTATAATTCGATTTGAATTGGCTCCGTTTTGTGAACAAATGTTTGGTTGCTCTTATGAATATTACAATCTGTCTGTTCCATCTTAAGTGTTGTTTCTCTTTTGTCTTGCTTGCTTATAGTTGAATTGACCGAGGAAAGTCTCTATTAATATTGTGGATGATGGAATCATTGTGATTTTGATGCGAGTTTCCAGAAAGCTTGCATAGAGTCGCTTGTTTGTTCTTTCGTCATTGGGCTTTTGTAGTGAATTAGAATCGTCCTTGTTAGGTTTTCGTGTCTCAGTCCTGTTCTACTGCTTCCTTGTGTCAGGAATAAACATCTGTTTCGTAAATTTCAGCAATGTACGGTGGAACTGTAAGAAGGGTTTCAGTTTCTGTGGAAATGGAAGATAACAACCCGAAAAACGACCTGTATAAAGAATCTTTCTACTCTGGAGGCTTGAGTCAGTATATTAGTTGGCTCAATGTTGATAAGGTGAGACCTTGTAAGATTGTTGTATGTTGGAAAGATGCCAAAATGAAATGTGTGTGTAAATATATGGTAGAGTGCTAACTGTTATCTGGAAACTATTCCCTGATTTGCTTCTCTTCAGAAACCACTTCACGATGTGCTGACTTTCAGAAAAGAGATAAATGGTATCACCATGGACATTGCGCTTCAATGGTATTTCTCTTCGTATGTGTGATGTTGTAGTTACTCTGTACAAGATCCTCTTGATCTGATTCAATGTTGTTGTACCAGGTTCGTAGATGGATATGCAGACACGATGTTAGGATTTGCTAACAGCATCCGCTCCATTGATGGTGGAACACACATAGATGGCGCGAAAGCTTCAATAACAAGAACTCTTAACAGCCTTGCGAAAAAGTCGAAGGTTGTCAAGGTATAACAACATTCACACCACTAACCAGTTTGGTCTATGTGACTCTGTTTCTCTTTTGTTTTGAATGTTCTGTGCCAATAACAAGAACCATTTGCGAGTGGACGGGATTAGAGTAATTTCATGTTGCTGTAAAAATTCTGAGGACCTCCATAATGTTACATCAGTTCAAGCACTTGATGTCAGGGATGTTTTGTATAACTGATGGTAATATATATTGCTGGCGATTTGTTTGTTCAGGACGAGGATATAACCTTCAGTGGGGAGCATGTTAGGGAAGGACTGACTTGCATTGTCTCTGTCATTGTTCCAAATCCTGAATTTGAAGGTCAAACACAGGTACGAAAGACCATAGCGATTGTGATCCTATTCTTTTGCGGCTTTCTCTGATTGATTAATTACTCCGGCTAATGTTCTGTCTCGTACGATCTTGAAGACGAGATTAGGAAATCCATATGTGAGGGAAATTGTTGACCAATCAGTCGAGGAGTACCTAACGGAGTATTTTGAATTGCATCCACATGTACTTGAGAGCATTATCTCCAAATCCTTGAACGCTTACAAGGTAGCAATACTGCTGTATCTCCATTTACACCATGCATTTGAAGACATCCACAGTTTTTATTTTTGCATTGTGTTTTGCTTTCTTACATCCAATTAAGTGACCATAAGAATATATACCTGGTCACCCTTTCTCTTTCTAGACTGCTTTAGCTATCAAGAGGGCAAGGGAAGTGATTAGATCAGAAAGTGTAGCAACGCCGTGTACCATTCCCGAGAAGCCGTGCACCATTCCTGAGAAACTGACCAACTGCTCTTCTGCAAAATCTGGTATGTATTAGCCATTCATGAGAATGTTTTTTGATTGTTAGAACGTATGTGCTCTGTTTGATTATTTTTTTGGTACATATGATATGATATAAAAAACCACTTGGGTTGGCCAAGTGGTAGGAGAAACATGGGGCAAGGCCGTAAACTCGGATAGTCCCGTGTTATTCCACGGTCTATGGCCCGTTGTGAACTTGTAGGGAACTCCTTTCCGGGATCCTACTCACCACCACGAGTATTTGCACTATTGCAAACACGAACCAAACACAGTGATAACGTTCTTGAATATTTAGTGCCTAGGGATTTGATCTCGTAGATTCAGAATGAGAAGTAGAATAAGGGAGACAAGATAATTTTAATTTAAAAAATTTCCCAATGCCTCCAGAGACTTTTATTGGCAGAGGTGATTCTTCAGGTGGCGCTGCAAAACAGGGCCCTGACAGGCGTTTCCAGGTAAAATACATTCTTTTAACTTTAGATACCATCCCTACAGTTATATTTATGGGCAGTAAGGCAGAATTATTCTGCCTTCAAGCGCACTCCTGATGGGTGGTGCTTGAGAATAGTCACGCTTTCGGATTTGATTCGAATCGGGACAGCTCGCGAGAGTTTGTCGGAAAGACATGCAAAAGATGGGATGGAGACAAAGCATTGGTGAACTCCTTATGATCATATGCCAATGCAAGAGATTCCTCTCTTTACCAGCCAAAAGGCATTGTCTCGGTGGCTCTGACGGTTATCTCTATCTCTTGCCAGAGCAAAAGGACACGGGAACAGCCACGGAGGGATTGTGCAGCCTCTAGAGCTCCTGGAAAGTCTTTCGAGAATACTAGTGATTCAAGCTTTGAGAAGAAACGCCAAAAACTGAAATCTAGTGTTCCATCCTCACGTCCCTGCTTTTCTTCACGTCAAACTGCTGAGGCTTCAAACCCACCAAACCGTAAAGGCGCCAAGATTCTCAAAAGAGCAGCCTCTGGCTCGAACATAACCAAAAATGTTGTCCCAATCGGTCCTGGTTTCCAGGCCGAGATTCCGATTTGGATTGCTCCTACCAAGAAGGGCAAATTTTATGGTAGTCCCGGAGATTCCGACACTCTTAGATGGCTGGGAACTGGTGTGTGGCCAACATATAGCCTAAAGAAGAAAGCTTACTGCAAAAAGGTCGGCCAAGGAAGAACCGACTCTTGTTCCTGTGCTTCTCCAAGATCTACCGGTTGCGTAAAACAACACATTAGAGAAGAAGGGGAGCTTCTAGAAAAAGAAATTGGCCGTGCTTTCTATGCTTGGAAGTTTGATGAAATGGGTGAAGTCGGAGCAAAATCATGGACGGCCAAAGAAGAGCAAAGGTTCGAAGCTCTTGTGAAGAGCAACCCTATGTCAAGTAGTAAAGGGTTTTGGGGGCTTGCTTCCAAGGCTTTCCCAAGGTAGAGTGAGAAGGATCTCCACAGTTACTACTATAACGTTTTCCTCATCAAACGTATGAGATTGCTTGCTAATACTTCTCCTGACGACATGGATAGCGATGATGACCAGTCTCATGACTTCTTTGGGGGATGAAGGCCTTGTCCATAGCCGTAGCTTTCTCTGGATTACAAGGTAATTCACTCCTCCATTGTACTAGTAATTCAAGGTTTCCAGGTTCTTGATACCTAGTGGTTCAAGAACATGTTCCTTTTCCCCCTTGAGCTTTTCTGTCGTAAGATTTTGTTAAAAGAGATCCTTACTAGGGCAAAAACACCAAATCCAAATGTCTTTCTTAATTAGCTTTTTTTTACTCTTCATGAGCCTTGGAGAGATTTATTTCACTCATGAAACAATCTTTAATATTTTGAATTTGGGACCTTTCTTCTGAGGATATTAGGAAAGTCTATGATTACTCTTTTAATTCATCTATAGGCATCAAAGATCATCTCAAAGTGCTTTAACCAATCCAAATCAAAATAAGTGATGCAAAAATCCAAACCTGTCTTAATATGGTTTGATTAATTAAGAAAGTTATTATAATTTGTTATTAAAATATGTTGTGTTATAGCAAAAAGGCTCCACCAAAATACATTAAAAATTCATTTGTTAAAATATTTTCAATAACAATAGATTTGATTTTTGATCTTCTTCAAAAAGTCAGCGAGAATGCAGTTGTGTCCACAGATTTAACTTTTTTGGCAATTGGCATCCATCGCGATTATATGATACTTGGGGGCTGTATTCAAAATAGAATTGGAATAAATCACAAAACCTTGTTTACATTTATAAACAAAAAAGAATCTAGAATAAAAAAATATAAATTCCTGCTAAAACCATAAGACTGTTTTATGTCAAAATTGCAAAATTTCACTTTTTTGGATCAAAACTGCAAAATTTTATTTTCCTGCAAAAACCACAAAATCTTGTTTTTTAAATAGAATTTTTATCATGTTCTTCTCCTAAAACTGTGAAACTTTGTTTTCCCATTAGATTGCAAAATTATGTTTTTCCGTCAAATTATTAAAAATTATGTTGTCCTGTCAAAACTGTACATTCTTTCTAAAATCAAAATATCAGTTTTTTTTTTGCTGAAACCATGAAATCGTATTTTTATGCTAAAACAATTCGATGACTAAATATATATTTATATCAAATGAAAATAGTTAAACTTAAGATTATAAATCTAATTTAAAAAAATATGGGCATTTTGTTTTTTTTTGTCAACAGTCGTTTCAGTAAACCAAGCCGGTGGATGAAAACAAACTTCCTTCTGCTGGTCTTGTATTCTTCCAAATAGAGATGTAAATTTACAACCAACTAATCAAACAAATAAAGTTATATTTATGGGGTTATTGGAAGAATGATTTATGTAGATTTTGAGAATTTTGAGATTCCATCATTATTGTTTTGTTGATATTTAAAATCTTAGTAGAATCTATTGTTATTGGTTTAAAGATTTTAAAATATTATTTAAAATCCTTTGTTATTCAAAAAGTTTGGCTTTTAAAAATTTTATGTTTTTATTAAAATCTTGTGTTATTGTGATGCGTATTTTAAACAATTTAACTCATATAACAAAATTTTGAAAGATTTTCAAAATATTACCTATATGTCTTAGATTTTCAAAGTCATTATAGTAAAATGTTTTTTATATATTCTAAATAAATAAACTTTTCTAAATTTAACAAATCTCTCAACTCTTAAAATCAATCAAAACTTTATAACTCCATCTCCCAATAATCCTCTTACATATAACAATCAAAAATAAAACAATTAAAATAGGCTATTTTGGTTATTTTGTTAAAAAAAAATTGTTTTGATCAATTAACTATTATAATTATATCTTAAGTATAGAGAGAGAGAGGGAGAGATATAAACTGATGATATCAAGTTTACAGATGCAATATAATGAGGGTAAAGTTAGGCATTATATGCCAAGTTGTCCATCTTCCTGTTGGTTGCTTATAGTCATCTCTGCCTCGCTGCAGGCCACCACCGGTCTTTCGGCCGACTAAAAATCGTACATGCATTCGGCTGGCCTGGTCCAGCATTCACTCGCATATCCTACTTACTGACACACATTGACTATGATTTATGATTATGATTATGATTATGATTATGATTATGTTAATTATTAAGTCTATGAAACTTAGTTTTATACTCCTATAATATTTAATATTAGTGAGGCCGAAATATTGGGATTTAACTATTTTGGGCCAGGATGAGAACTTACCACACCACCAAGCTATCGACCAGTGTTCGACCAGCATCAAGGAACTAGACGTTGTCCACGTTGCAGATTCTCTCACCTCGCAGTTATTTTAATATTAAATTAAAATACATAAACAAAATGAAGGGAGAGATTCCCTCACGATCAAATAAACAAAACAAAACAAAAGACAAGTGTGAGGGTTGTTGGTTCCTCTTTTTCTCTTTCGGATTCGAGAACAGATTTCGGTAGGGTTTCTCCTACTATTTTGGTCTTCACCGATCGATTTGGGTGTTTCGATTCGATTAATCTTCTCCTGTTAAATTCCATTTTCCTCTGTTGGGTTTTTGGCTCTGATTTCATTTTTGTAGGAAATGTTTATGATTTTGATCTTCTCTCGATGATAATTGTATAACTGTTTTCAGATTATGTTTGCATAATACTATAGAATAGCTGTTCAGCTTCAATATGAGGTTGTTAGATAATAGTTTCTTTCCCATCAATCAGGAGGATAGTCGAATATAAATATTTTTCCGATTTTTTTAATCTCTCTCAATTGTATGCTTTTATCAGCTCAGTACATGTTTGTTGGCGGACTAGATTTGTTATTTCAGACAGTAGTAACAAGGTACTAAATTTCTTCTACCGACAGGAACAAGAGCGGTATCGCTTCTGCAAAAATTTCAGCCATGTCAAGTTTAACAGTGAGAAGGGTATCGCGTGAAGATATACAACTGGTAACATTTATAACAAAGCTTCATGTTTCTCTTGAAAGTTTGCATTTTTTTGGCAAAATTTCACCCTTCTACCATAATTATTAGTGGCCTATTTTTTTTATCGCAGGTTCAGAATTTAATAGAACGATGCCTCCAGCTTTACATGAACCAGAAAGAAGTTGTCGACACTCTACTGGAGCAGGCTAAGATCGAACCTGGTTTTACAGAACTAGGTAAAACTTCAATCTTGATCTCTTACTTAGGTTTTTTTGTGCTAAGCAATTCTTGAAGTAATGTGTCTACGGTAGATACACTTATGTTTGCATATCTTCCTTCTGAGTTTGACAGTTTGGCAGAAGCTTGAAGAAGAGAATCGGGAATTTTTCAAGGCGTATTATCTGAGGCTCATGGTGAAGCACCAGATAATGGAATATAACAAGCTGCTTGAGCAGCAGGTACACCACATGCGCCAGACGCATCCTACCGGAGTTTCTTCCGTACAGAACATGAATGGTTCTCATGCTCCATCAAGTAATATATGTTTTTTGGAACTATATCCATTTTTTCACTTTCTGAATGGTTTTAACATTGCAACTGACATGATTTCTATCAACAGTGAATCAGCAGCAGTTATGCTTTGCACCCAAGGACTCAAATCAATCTTCTCCTAATCTATCAAGTGCATACCTCAACGGAGGCTCGGCGCTTAACACAGACATACCTTCTTCTGTGGACTTTGCAACCCATTCTAGAAGAGTTGATCCTCCACCAAACATGCTCTCCTTGCAGGCTACAAATATGCCTTTGATGCAAGGAATGATCAAATCCGAGACCGCATATTCAAACTGTGCCCCGTACATTTATGGTGGTGAAGCACATTCCACAGTTGGAGATGCCTCCATTGCGTCTTTCAGCAATGATTCCAGCAGCCAATCCCTCAATGATCCACTTGTTGATGCAGACGCTTCTACATTTGGGTTCTTGGGTCAAATTCCTCGGAACTTCAGCCTCTCTGATCTTACTGCTGATTTTTCCCAGAGTTCAGGTCCCTTCTCATTCTCATATACATATATGCTCCCTTGCAACTGCAATTTTGGCATTGAGAATTTAGGATTCTTTTTTTTTAACCGTAAATTGCTTGTTATATATATCAGAGATTCTGGAGAGCTACGACAAATCACCATTCCTTTTGGCTGATGCTGAAAAATTCCTGGACTCTACCGAAAGGGTAGAAAATCAAGGTGAGCTTATTAAAGACAAAGATTTATTTCGAATTTGATGGTCCCTCTGCAAAACAAGAATTGCAGAAAAAGAAAAGAGTGAGGTAGTAACTAAGTAAAGGTGTTTTTCTTCTTACAGGAGACCACGAGAGATTGGGGACCATATCTGGAGGCTTCAGTTACGAAAACCTCAAATAGGTTTTGCTTCATCATCATGGTTTTGACCTCTGCAACTTCATGCAGGTTCTAATCACATGGTCAACTGTACAGAGATATATATTCTTGCTTTTCGAAAGACAATTTTTGGGTTGGATGTATACTAACATTATTTATTCTCTAGTGTGGACTGTGTTGGTTTTAGTAATAGAGATATTTTAAGCAGCAGTATTTTGATTGTACTACCATTGTATGATTTTGGATTTTCATTTGGACCTATGTGGCCAAGTCTAAAACTTGTATGATATTTGATTTTCTTTTAATGTTGTTAATCCCCGGTTGTATGAAGCAAGCCTACATTATTCGTATAATAATCATCATTTTTACATTATTCGTATAATAATCATCTTCTTTTAATACACACACATCACACGGATATAATGCTTTTTGCTTGTTTGTTTCTTCCTATGCAGTCTCTTTGGCCATATCTCTCTTTAATAATATTAAAGCCACTCTTAACTACAGAAGGAAGCTTGACACACTGTAGTGTTCCTTCTTTTTCTTAGAAACACATTTCACAAATCCAGCAGCAGCATAGTGCAAAGAGACTGCATAGGAAGAAACGAACGAAATAAGCAAACACAGAGTTAGTGTTAAAGAAAACAGAAACAGAGTGTGCAGAGTAGCTACAAGGAAGACTCGGATTTATAGTAATAGCTTTACCATCCTTCAATGAAGCCTCTGTCTCCTTTCTGCTTTGTCTCGTAAGACCGCGGCTTCTTCTCCTTCTTATTGTTTTGTCCGGTTTGTTCAGAGACTTCTTCTGCAGCTGGATATCCTGTCGAGGAGAGAGGTAAGTACTACAAATCTTCTACTTTGCTTTAGAAAAATGTTTGATTCGTTATCGCAACAAAACCAACCAAAGTTTTAAATGACCCATAGAAAAATCCTGACCTGGTGGAAGATGTTGATCTTCTGCGATTCTCATGTCCTTGTGCATCTTTGTTTACAGAAGAAGCTCCTCTATTTCAACTTTCCAAGTGGAAACACACAACAAGGGATTGTGACTGTGATATTTGGGAATATGATTCTTGGTTTGGTTACTAGATATAACATTTTTGTGAGGATGTTTCTCTTTATATATAGCTTTGTTGTATAAGTTATGATAACGGTGTCATTGCCAGATGAAATATTCTTCTGTAGTTTTTTTATTATTCCGACTTTCGGCTTATTCGTTTATATCTTTATACCTTCCTTCTCGAAGGGGCTGTTGCAGAAACTGAGCTTCTGTGAGTTTTTTAAGTGTGAAAAGAAGACTTTTTAACTCTACTTTTTGAGGTTCTTTGATGTGTTCACACTTGTTTGTTTCTCTTATCTCGTGGCTTGCTGATTGTTGAAATAAAAAATAGCAAAATTCGTTGAAACTCCATTTATTTTCTGAAATAATTTTGATTTGGGATTATAATTTCCTTACTCACACATTCACCACAACAGGATTAAAAGCAGATTGTTGGTCTACTCATACTTTAGTTTGGATGGCTCACAACACAAGTTGACGACTAATCCTCTTTACGAATAAAGTGATTACTTCATGTGATAAAAGGAGTTAGGCCACCAGGAGAAGAAGGCCCAAATTTTTTTGAAATAGTCGAAAGGCCACCAGGAGAAGAAGGCCCAAAAAGTTTTGTAATAGTCGAAAGGCCACCAGGAGAAAAAGGCCCAAAAAGTTTTGTAATAGTCGAAAGGCCACCAGGAGAAGAAGGCCCAAAAAGTTTTGTAATAGTCGAAAGGCCACCAGGAGAAGAAGGCCCAAAAAGTTTTGTAATAGTCGAAAGGCCCGTCTCTCCCAACGTTTAGAACAATGTTGTAGCGATCATCCTGACAAAGAAAGATGGAGACATAAATCTGTAAATTTTGGATTTTGAGATTATCGCTGCCTGTTTCTGCAAACTTCGAACGGAAACCATAGATCGGAGAGAGAGAACGAACTCAACTTCAGGTTAATTTCAGGATTTATTGTCAACGGTGACGGAGACGAAGAAGATGCCCCAGAAACATAGATATTTACAATAACATCCCACCATTTTTATTATTTATGGAAATGCCCTAACTTTGGTGTATTTATGGAAATTCCTTAACTTTGGCGTATTTTCGGAAAACCCCAAAACTTTGGTTTATTTACTGAAACGCCTAAATCTTTGTCATATTTAAGGAAAGTTCCCACCACTTTGTTGTATTTACATAAATGCTCAATAACTTTAGTCTGTTATCTAAAAAGTACCGAATTTTTGAGTTAGTTATGAAAATGTCACATAAGTTTTGGTAATCACAGAAATGATCAAAAACATTGGTCTATTTACGGTACTAGTCCGTAACGTTTTTTATTCACGATAATACTCCAGGTCTGTTGTTTAGTTACGTAAATGATCCAGAATTTATAATATTTAGGAAATGACCCACCACTTTGTAAATTCCCAAGAATATTTGTGTTTTTACGAGATCTGTGCCCAATATTAGTGTATTTGCTTTACTGACCCATAACTCCGATGTATTTATAAAAATGCGCCCGAGCTTTGTTTTATTTACGGCAACGCCTCATTTTGAGAATCTCGGTGACACTCTAGAACAAATCAGAGAGTTGCTACATTTTGGATCCTATGACTATGTCATCAGAATAAACTACAATTGTATAGAAAACAGTTGATCTTCAAGAGTTTCTTTGCTGCAATTCGTTAAATATGAGACATGATGTGTCCCAGAGTTCCTTGGCGAGTTTCGGATCACGGGAAATCGCTGAAGAGTCGATGGTCCTCCCCTTTCCTCCAAAGAAATATTTACCTGATCTTTCCTGCAAAAGTGTTCATAAACAGATCAAATCAACCACATGAGAGTGACGTAGAGTACGATGAAGAAATTCCAAACGAGCTTGTCTTACAGGTGGAGCTAAAGCAGCATCAATGACAGATTCAGCTGCTTCCTCTGGGGACTGCATGAGTCTAAGAATCTTGAGAGCACAAAACGCCATAACTTGAATGTATGAAGGAAGCTCATGCATTATGTTTGTCTTCACTGCTCCTGGATCTACCGCTCTACAACAAAACAAGAATATCCAAAAAGCAGAGTGTGTAAGCACATTCATTGAGTCATAATCCCACGTCTTACAAGGTTGGCAAAGAATATCATTCAAACAAAAGAAGAACAATAGAGCGCGTACACAACAGAGACGTGATGAGAGTCATCAGTGAGGCGAAGCTGTCTATGCAGCTCGTATGAGAAAAGTAACAGGCATACTATTTGACATAAAGAAGCAACTATATCAGCATCATCATCATCATCATATAGAAAAGGAGAAAAAAGTATGCATGTAAAATGTAAGAATATTAGCTTACATTTAGAATACTCATAGATCCTAGCGCAAGGATATTGCTTTGGTCCTGAAGAGTACACTCCGGTAACAGAGTCCTTGTCAAACCTCGCAGAAAAAGCTACAGACAAATATATACTCTCTCATTGAAGGATGGAAAAAAAGAACCATTTTCACCGGTCATGAGAAAATAAAGTATTCACCAGAACGATGTGTAAAAGATGTAACGTTCACAACTCGTGAAGGCACATGGCTGTTTCTCAGAAGCGGTAACAGAATTTTTGTCAAAGAGAATGCACCGATATAGTTTGTAGCGATCATCCTGACAAAGATGGAGACATAAATCTGTAAATTTTGGAGCACAAATTTATGAAACCATAGTGAAAAACGCCTTACCTGTCAAAGCCTTCAATGGTTGGCCGGCTCGACGTTGCCAGTATTCCTGCGTTGTTCACCAACAGTTGGATCGAAGAACGTAGACCTGACTCTAATAGCCATTGCTCAAGAGAGTTTCTGAACTTGAAAACTGATTGAAAAGAAGACATGTCAACTTCAAAAGCTTTGACTCGTGCATCCTCGTTCTGCCTCTTAATTTCACTCAACGTCTGCCAACACAAAGAGAGAGATTATTTGCATCAAGAGGAAGTTCTTCTATTGGAAGAAGGAAACCAAAGTGACCATAATAAACCTTTGATAGTGCGTGGGAGGACCGTCCAACTGCAAAATCAAGAAAGACCCAGCCAGTGAATAAGACATGCTCCAACAAGTTATCGTAGCAACAAGGTCTATTCCACTAGAGATGAACTGAACGAGCTCTTCTCTAAGGAAAAGCAAAGCTTTTTTTTACCAAGAATGACGTAGAAACCCTTCCTTGAAAGAGCAAAGGCAGTGGCCTTACCAATCCCCGAAGTAGCCTGCAATGAATTCAACACCAGACAATATAAACAAAACCAAAAGAAGTAGTCATTACATTACATCGCACAGTATGAGGCAATGATTCCTAGGAGAAGAGAGGATGACTTACACCAGTGATAATACAGATAGGTCTCTGTGAATGACTGGAGGAAGAAGAGGTGGAACTCGATTTTGAGCCAAAGATCCTTCTTTTAAGCAATTGAAAGTAAGAGAAAAGGAGGGAAACGCTCCAAAGCAAAGCCATCCTCCAGAAATCAGATGAGCATATGAAATGCAAAGCTTCCTTCAGCTTTTCCATTTGCATTAATCAGCTACCGCTAAATTTTCAGAATTGTTTATTTATCAGAAACAATCAGCTAGAAGGCAAAACAGCACACGATCAAGATTTTCACTTGGAATCAAATTCATCTACCTGAACAACAGTTTAGAATCTGTCGACTAAATTAATCCCGCGAACCCCAAGCTCAGTCACAGAGTGGTGAAAAATTACAAATGGTTTGGAAGATCAGAGACGAAAATCTGTTTTCGGATTCAAGGATCAGTCTTCTCGGGGCAAAAAAACGAAGGCGGGAACGATGAGAGTTTCCGCCGTAGACGAAATCCGAGAAATTGAAGAACGAAGAAGACGAAACGGAGAGATTTGACGACTTCAAAGGAAGAGACGGCAGCAAACTAGCAAATGTCTAAAACCACAAGGTCCAATACGAAAACAATTTCTGAATATAAACTTCGTCAAATTACATTACACACCCGAAACTTTCTTTTGAATCACAAAAATCGACTAATGCTAGGTTTGGTTATGAATGTGGGCGAAACAAAAACATGTACAGACTGATCAATCAAATGAACAAAAGTTACATAAGCAATCATCAATTTCTTTTCTCTTTAACAACCAAAGAGATTACAAAACTGAATTTCTATGTTCGCTGGTGAATGTTTCAGAGGATTGCCCAGAACTTCTTTCTGCAAAATAGAACAGTTTGTGTCTTCTTGTATTTATTTTGCAGGTCATGTGTCTCAACGTCCCAAAGGAATTTAGGAGCCAAGTCTCGAACTCTTGAGATGATCGATTCCTCGTCCCTAATGATGATGAATCCCTGCAAACCCAAAATCCAAATTAAACAACAAAATAAGATGGTTATATGAATTATTGCTAGTGACACCAAAAAGACAAGTACCTGAGGGCGTATGATGCGGTCCATCTCAAGCATGATGTCCTCTAGTACACAACCTTCACCACGGGTTTGATAGTGAGACAAGAGATTGTCTGCGTGTAGCAGATCGTATGTGCGTGGATATGTTGAGAATGGCTCACACCTAAGTGCAACACACACATATCAACAATTGGTGCAAAATGAGAATGATTGCAAATGAGAAAGTAGATCATACAGTTAGCTTACCAATCATGGTAAGCACCGGTTAAGCCCCTCTGGTAAATTCCGGATAACGTATCGTTCATTGTGGCAGGCACAACGTTCATCACCCAAACGGGATATGTGTTCATAGCTGCAGCAAATCCACCGATGAAGGCGTTTGTGTCCATCACATTCCGCACTTCCGTCTTGTTAACATTCATCAACTCCCAGTAACGATTCGCTTCTTCTCTCCAGAAGTTTGTGTCCAATGTAAATTCATCTTCGCTGATGCCTGGTGAAAGTTTTTTTCCAAGTGAATTAAGGGATTCAGACAGAACATAAAGAGAAAATGTTCTTTTCGACCATGAACTGACACAGGAGAAATGTACCTGTTTTTCTAAGGCTTGTTGGGTATGCCGATAGACGTTCAGATAAAGAAGATGACTTTTGTTGTATGTTCTTACTAACGTCCACACAGTCTCTAAGAGGAACTTTCCATGAAGCTTTCGAAACATCTTCCACATCACATATAGTTATGAGCTCAAGCTCTGCATTCTTCCTGAGGCAAGCCTCGTCATCTTCTTTCACCCATATTGCAGTCTGTACCTTTCGGGAAATGAGCTTCCAGCACATTGCGGTCGTTAGATTGACCAACTTATCCCAAATCGCAGGGAAATCTTTATCCTTTCTGTAAGCAGGCGGTGCTGAGTAAACAAAGTACCCATTGGGTCGGAGAAGACGATTCACCTCTTTGATCAAGATACCATCTGCAGAACCAAACGCGAATTAATGTAACTAGTAGGCAAAATCATTGATACAAAACCAGGCAAGGCACTGACAGGTAGAATGAACATCACGTGAGGCTAACCATTTTCATGCCAATCAACACGGCATCTTGAACAGTGAACCATATCAAACGAGGCTGCGGGATATGGCATTTGTTTGGTGGCTATGGCAGAGATCATTGCGCCGATTCCTCTCTCCAACGCAAACTGGATTTGGTTTTCATGACCATCTTTAGGAGCAAAGGACATGGTTTGTATACCTAGAGGAAGAAGATAAGCTGCAAAGCTAGCAACTCCGCATCCAACATCAAGAACTTGTTCAACACCAGCTGAACGTAGGTCACCTGTTTCGTTAGTCGTCATGTTTCCTAACCTGAGGTTAAATACACAAATTCAGTGGAATGCATTAGGGTTTTAAGTATAAAACCCCGTGTGAGCTTCTTCTGCGTTTATAGTTTCAGATACCTTTGGATGTACTCTGGAGCTCCGTGTTTGAAATGAGTACCACCACCAGGGAACCACCATAGCTGACCTTGTTCGTGCACCCAGTTTTGCCCGCCTTTGACCTCAGCAAGATGTGTATGATTCACATTGCTTCTCCATACGTAATCTCTGCTTGTAGGCCAACGTATAGGTATCTTATAATCTTTCGGCGGAGGTACCAGACAAAACAGACGGTGTTCAAGTGGCGGGCAGTGTCTCTCAAGCTCTTCTCTTTTGGAAACATTCAAGCTTGGGAGAAGCTGTTGCACGTAAGTGACATTGTGACAAGGGATGTACTCATTGAACTCCAATGGACAAACATTCATCCCACTTTCTGGGATCACGGCAGGGGTTCTCCGGTGAGTGAGAGATATCTTGTTAGCAAAACTTGATGGACCTGCAACCACAAAACTGTTGCTTTATCGATTTACGTCCTAATCCGGATTGGGGGGGAAAAAGCAAAAAACTAGCAGCATATGTGAATTCCCAGAAAATATCAATCGATGGGTCAGAGAAGAACGGGAACCCAGTGGGGGTTTCGATCAATTCAGCTCCAAAAACCAAGAAATTAAGCCAGGGAACGGAAATCTAACGATATGCAGAGAGCAAAGGAGAGACATTTGAAAATGCAGAGGGAGAGAGAGAGAGAGAGAGAGAGAGAGAGAGAGAGAGAGAGAGAGAGCGAACCAGATGGAGATGGAGAAGAAGAAGAAGAATTGGAAGAAGCTTGGGGAATGTAAATGGGTGAATTGTTGCCGAAAATATAGCCGGCGAAAAATGATCCAACCACCAGCACGAGAGCCACCATTACCGTTTGCCCCGATCTGGCCGAGCCCAACACACAACCTCCCATGGCTTTAAATTCCTCTCCTTATCCTCAAGAAAAGTCACGGTCTTCCTTCTCTCTCCTACGATGATCTCTCTATATACTTTGCTTACTGAATTGATGTGAATCTATTGAGTGACTGAAATACAAGCAAAGAGAAACAGAGAAGATGAAGATCTAGCATTTATCTCGCAATTGCTGTCCCGTCGGCAACCCATCTGACAAGCACGTGACACACATCTTAATTCTTCGTCTCTTTTTGCAAATGTTCCCCAAAACTTCTTATACTCAAACATTCACCCCTACATTTTCATTTGGCTAAATCAGAAGAAATGGATGACGTTTCTTTAAATAGCAGACAAAATGGTTGACGTTCTTTAGCCGTCGAAACGACATGCTGTTAAACCTCGACTTTATAAAGCCCATTCGGCTGTTTCATAAACCCCATTGGACTGATTCATTAAACCCATTGGGCTGATTCATTAAGCTCATTTGGCTAATTTAGAAAAATGGTCGACGTTTCTTTGAGAAGCAGACAAAATGGCTGGTGTTTTAGAAGTGAAAAAACGACACGCTGTTTAATCTCAAGTTTATAAAGCCCATTGGGCTGATTCATGAACCCCATTGGACTGATTCACTAAGCATTTATTAAGCCCATTGGACTGATTCATTAAGCTCATTTGGCTAATTCAGAAAAATGGTTGATGTTTTTTTGAGAAGCAGACAAAATGGTTGGTGTTTTTAGCAGTGGACGACACGCTGTTTAATCTCGAGTTTATAAAGCCAATTGGGCTGATTCATGAACCCCATTGAGCTGATTCGTAAAGCATTTATTAAGCCCATTGGACTGATTTATCAAGCTCATTGGGCGAAAACAATGAAGCCCATTGGACTGATTTATTAAACTCATTGGGCGAAACCATAAAGCCCATTGGGCGAAATTATAAAGCCCATTGGATGAAATCATAAAGCCCATTGGACTGATTTATTAAGCTCTTTGGGCGAAACCATAAATCCCATTGGGCGAAAAACCACATGCTGTTTAACCTCGACTTTATAAAGCTCATTGGGCAACCCCATTGGACTGATTCATTAAGCATTTATTAAGCCCATTGGACTGATTCATTATGATCATTTGGCTAATTCAGAAAAATGGTTGACGTTTCTTTGAGAAGCATGCAAAATGGTTGGTGTTTTTTAGCAGTGGAAAACGACACGCTGTTTAATCGCGAAAGCATAAAGCCCATTGGGCGAATTCATAAAGCCCATTGGGCGAATTCATAAAGCCCATTGGGCGAATTCATAAAGCCCATTGGGCGAATTCATAAAGCCCATTGGGCGAATTCATAAAGCCCATTGGGCGAATTCATAAAGCCCAATAGGCCTTCTTGTATCGATGTTTTGTTTGCTCGCTTTGACTCCCCGCGCCGCTTTCGTGCAAAGCATTGGTACAGTATATAATTTAACTTTCAATTGCCAATCGCCATATATCTTCTCGACCACAAAAACTCATCCGTTCGCTTCTGGTAGATCAAATGTCGAGTCTAATACTGAGAAACAAACATACCTGAACCGATCTGTGCAAGCAACTCCTCACCTGATGTCGATGATCACAACTTGTTTCATCAAATTTTGCGTTTCTCAGGCGCCACGTAAATATTACTCAATTGTCTTGAAAAATATGAAGCATACACTGCTTTGCGCAGCCCAACAGTAGCTTACCAAGTATTCATCCATTTGGCCATACATTGATATGAAATGGAAACAGATGTGGCAGGCAGTTTTGCCTGATCTCAGCGATATGACCATTTTAGCTTCTTACCCTCGTGCAGACGAGAAGTAACAGATATCACCTGAGATCGATGAATGAAGTACCATCCACATCCTGAAGAGTCATTTTACCCAAGTATACATCACTGATGTGAGTGGAACACAAAGGAAGACATTTCCGGTTCAAAGCTGGGTGAATTGTGCCCATACCACAAACCCATTTCTCTTCGTCTAGTGGGTTGATCTGCAGACGGTTTTGCAGTAGATGTACACGGTACATGGTTGTATCCCATCGTTCGCAGAAACTAGCAGCACAAGAATGCAATGGCTCATCAGATGCAAGCCTGATCAAAAGCAAAGACAGTGTCCCATCCACAGGTCTCGGGTCTGAAAGGTTCTTGTCCCCCATCATCTTCACCTCTCTTTCCAATGGAAAATGCACCTCTTCGCTCCCGTAAAGATGGTCACACACTTTGAGGTCTTTCGTGTAGTGCCTAATAGCTTCACGTTTAGTGGATCTGTGCTTCTCCGCTAGTGTCAAAATACAGGAGAACCTCAGATGGTAACTTACAATGATTTTGACCGTCCTATAGTTGTGGCAGCAGCAGAAGAAATCAAGCCATTTACGCCCTACACCCGCATACCATTTGATGATATCGGAATCCTCAAGAGCTAAAAGGTGGCTGATAGGCCGTGGCCGGCCCATGCTGTTTGTGAACCCAACTAATTTAACAGCCTTTCTTACAAGTTCCTCTGGAGCTGACACCTTCATGCACAACTTGGTCAAATCCTCAACTGTCCTATCAGCATATCTCTGTTTCTCCTCTTCTTCTGCTCTCATCTCCTCATCCTCTAGTACCTTTTTAGCCTGAGTCGGTGCCAAATGTTTGTCCACCTGCTCCTGAAATTCATCATAAGCATCAATCAGGTCTTGTGGTAACTTCTCTCGTATGTGTCTCAAAGAGAGAAAATCTCCTCTAGTGAGAAGCCAATGCCATTTCCACCGCTCCTCGAGAGACCCCATAAACTCTTGCATTACTTCTTCTCCCCATCTCTGGAAAACATCCCTGACCTCATTCTCTATTTCATACTCACATTTGAACCCGTTGCTCTGCTTGAGTTTCTTCAAGACGTGTCTAAATACTTTCAGGCCCAGTTTCTTCCGGTTCCTCTCCCTCGCATTTCTCAACTCCAGTCTCCTAACTTCCTTCTGTCTCTCATACTTCTTCATTGCTCTGACCGCCTTCTCGGACATAGGCGGGCGCATAACCGAAGGTGGAACAGCCTGAAGATACATCCCTAAAAAGTTTATCTTCTCTGACACTGCACTATGAATCGCCGTGTTCACTCTATCTACTTTCAGGTCTAGCCTCTGTTCCAAAATGTCTACAATCCTCTTCTTCAAGTCCATAGTCACCATTTTCGAGCCAGATGTTATCAAAAGTATCTCATCCAGATACCTAACTGCGTAAATATTTACCGGCTTAAAGAAAACGTTACCTTTCGATTGCTCCTCTCCCGTATCAACACGAGGATTCTTCAGTTTCATCTTAAGCCTCATGTCTTGAATCTCCTTATCAAGTCCATCAAAGTAAACATTGATCAAGATCGAAGACAATCCGCATTCTTGTGGAAATCCTCTTCCACTGTTACATCCACCAAGTTCGATTCGCAGAATCCCAAACTCAAACAGCTTCTTTATCATCTCAATCAACAAGCCATCGCTGATTTTCTCTCCAACGAAACCACACAGTTTGTCCACGTTCCGTTCATCGAACATCTCTCGAGCAAACGAAACACGAAACCACCAGCGTGGGTTCTCCACCGAGTTTTTCAGGTAACGAATCGCTGTGTGCCTACCCATACCAACACGCCCACCGTACGAGAACGTCGCGAATCGATCATCATACACAATCTCTAGAACCATCCTTATGGCTTCAATCAGCACTTTCAGTTTTAGATTGGGGAGGACGAGAAGAGATTCACAACGTTCATTTTCCCCTGAAGAGATGAACTCGACGCAGCAGGAACGGATATCAAACCTGCCCTCGCGTATCTCGCGCCCCATTTCTTCGATCGAGAACCTCCTGGAGACGCGGTCGGCTAACTCGGTGGACGAACCGCCCGAGTTTGCAGCAAGAGACAGGTTCTGACAGGCGGCGAGTAGGACGGAGGGAAAAGCAACGGCGTTTTTGACGAGACTATAGAACTTGCCATGGGAGTATTGCTTGAGAACTAAGGCCTCGAGCTCTGATTTCACCAATGGTTCACCAGTGGTTTGGTTGGAGTTCAAAAGAAGCGAATCCGTACTAAGACTCCTCAAGGAAGAAGAGACGAGGAAGGAGATTCCACGGTTGTAGAGAGAGCGACCTCTCAGCTGCAAAACCATGGAATTGCCAAGTTCAGCGAAGTGTCGTCTGCATTTCACCGGCGGCGACGGAGGAGGAGGAGGAGGAGGAGAAACAAATTAGAGAAATCGATCATTTACTTTTGGGCCTTAAATGTTTGTTGGCAGATTTCGTGGGCCGGACCTCTAAGTATATTGGGCCTTGATTTTATGGACATTGAATTGTTTATTTTGTCTTACAAAGTTAATATTAGCCGTGAATGCAAACGTGTCCATTGCAGCGAACAAATGTAAAACATCCATGGTAACTAATCCATTTTGTAAACATGCTCGTTAATATCGTTACAAAGTCTAATAAAACAGAACGTGACTATTCATTTTTCTTTTCCTTCTGAAATTTACAGATATATTCCAATTCGACAAATAAATAAGGTGAATTTTGAAACAATAATCAATGCAAACAATACACAACACGCACCTTATGCTATTTACAGGGCACTAAAAACCCCTTTTAAAAATCAATTGAGAATCACTTCAGTCTCCACTCCAATCAAATCACTCTACGCATCTATAACACTACCAGACACCGGTTCTTGTAAACCGGAATCTTCTGAAGAAACGGTAACCGGAGCCGAGCCGTTATGACGGTCTTCTTCTTCATCATCATCATCATCATCTTCTTCGTCTATTTCATGTTCTGATACAGAGCTATTATCCATCTCCTTCTCCGGTATATCGAGCTGTACACTCTCCGGTAGCTCAGTATTCTGATTCCCGATAGGCACTCCAAAGTTTTCTCTTTTAACTACGTTCAAAACAAACCCGTTGCTCGTTCTCTCAGGCTGTAGAAGATCACCTTCAGTAACTGTTATGCTTGAAGTGTTTGCTCCAAGATTGCTGCTGTTGCTGTTAGATTCACTCTCGGAGTGAGCTGCCATGGATCTCGAGTTCGGGCTAAAGCTTGGACTAAACGGGCCAGGAACCGCTGGAGAATTAGGACTGCTACTAAATCCCCTGGTCAATGCAATGTCGATATCGAGACCCTGAACGAAATCAATGAATTTATTAGCAGAAGCTGTTCTCATCAGAGGCCCACCAGTTCTTGTCCAAGAACTCAAATCCACGCTCTCGGTTTCACTATCGCTTAGATTCCTTCCCGAAGACGCGTGCAGATTGTTGTCAGCGACGAGGTCATCGAGTGAGCCCGTTGAGTTCTCTCGAGCAATAACGTTCCAAGATGGGATTCTTCTAGAAGCATTGAATCTGGTGGTTGAAGCTAATCCGTGATGAGACGATGACGTGCCGCCATTAGCTGCTCTCTCGGCGCTTCTCTTGAGCCTGCGCATATGGTTAAGGATAGCTACACACTCATCAAGCGCAAGCTCGATCCCACAGTTTGCTTTGATCGCTGAAAGCTTCTCCCATGTGCATCTTCTCCCTTGGTTAGCCGCTTTCTGAAGCTCGACATGAGTCGGGTTCTGTATGATCTTCGAGTACTGCAAAAAAATATCCACAAACAATAAGAAATCTTGCAAGTCCAAAAAGTCTCTGATTCAAGATTTTAAGGTTTTGGATCAGAACCTGAGCAAGAGTAGCAGGCATTACAACTGTTACATCACCTTCCCACTCCTGAGCAAAAAGCTTAGCGAGTCCACCGAGCGGAAAACCGAGCTCTAACACCTGGTTGCATCTATGTTTAACCTCCATTTCCACTAGATGCGCAAGCTACAGAAGGCAGACAAAGTTATATCACAGGGTAAGAAACAGAACAGAATTCGACAGAAACAGAGTTAACTATATGCAGAATACATACCTTAGCAGCGAATCTGCCACCGTAAGCTCGAACTATATCCTTTAGACGTAGTAACGGCGCAATGTGAGGATTGGCTTGGCTCACAATAAAATGATTGACATTGAAGAGCTCCTTAAGCTGCATCATCGGTAGATCAACCTCCAAACTGCCATCTCTCCACCGGCGTACAGATGATTTAGTGCCTTCTTCTGGATCCAAATTGAAGGGTGGATGATACGGCACGATCTCTCCGCTCCGGTCTTTAGCCATTAGTTCTTGAGCTTCAAAGAGACCGGGGAAAGCACAAGAAGCAGTCACTGCGCTCCATATAACCACGTGAGGCGAAGTCAAATAGTTAAGACACCGAGGCGGTTCGTGCTTTCTTGGAGAGCAAACGGTAATCCCGAGTATCCTCCCTGTCATGTCATAAGCTTCTTGGAATGTGAGATTGCAGGTGAGGTTTCTAAGCATACACTGCAACTGTCTGATATCGTGCAGGGCGCCTTGTGTCATAACACGTTTCACGATTGTGAAAACGCTTCCGAGCTGATCAAAGAACTGTAGAGAATGCAAAGAGTTCTCGAAGAAGCCCTGTAGCTCTGGCCAAGACCTTGAGGCCACAACCGAACAGATTATGGATCCAACACTAGAACCGGCGATTATCCGAGGTAAAAGCTTATGCTCAACCAAAGTCCTAACAACACCTACATGAAACGCACCAAGAGAAGCCCCACCGCTCAGAAGCAAAGCCGTCCTACCAAAGGCATGCCGTGTTTCATGCATAAAAGAAAGCTTCTCTTCTAAAGAAAGCTCCTCTGAGTCAGAGTTGCAGACCATCCTCAACTGAGTAGAGACCTCATCGATATACTCTTTTATATGTCTAGGAACCTGAAGTCTACCTTTATGAAGCTCCGAGTTACACATATTACCGAGGTTCCTCACGAGATCAGCTCTCATACAAAACATGATGTCTCTAAGTGATCCTTCTTGGCGGCGATGACGAAGCTCCTGGAGCTTGTTCTTGACCAACTCTTCATCGTAAAGATCGGATTCGTTCATCTTTGGCGTCTCCTTATCTAGCATCTTAGCAGCATGAGCCCACTCCTCATAAGTCAAAGCCGTGCGCATCATGTTCCTCCAGAACTTCCTCCTGTAAGCCATCTCCGCCTTCATTTTCACGTTCGTGTATCGTTTCAGCACGAAGGCGATGATTGTGACAACTGCTAAGATCCCTTGAGGGTTCCGAGGATGAAACCACGATACAAACGGCGATATGGTCAGCTTCAATCTAAGGAACCAATGCAGCAAGAACCGGAAGAGATCACGCCTTAGCTGTATCATTGATTTGCAGAACAAGACTCTAAAAGCGATGGTTCGACCCATGATCGACGTTGGTCCGATTGAAAATGGATCAACATTGGCCTCGTTACTTATATCCATTGCGGGATTATTTTTAATGTTTTTCAACTGCAAAGGCAAACGAAAACGAGAGACTTGAGTACTAAATGAACAATTACGGTTTTATTAAAATTCTGATGAGGAACAGAGTAATGATCTATTCTTAGTATTCGAAACCGAGTCAGCATTTTTTGTTTCCCCAAATCTGACTGTCATAACGAAGTTGGCAAAACCAAATTCGAACAAAGACAACTGTTTTTTTTTTAAGAAAAGCATGATCCTTTTGGGCGTTATAAAACCAATTTAAGAGCTTCGAATCACGGATTAAATTAAAAAAGGGGGATTCCGACGAGATCATGAACTCGAACTTTCTCAGCGAATATTCAAAAGCCCAGAAAAAAGAAGAGAAATTGAATCCGACAGAGAAAAGGCAGAGATACCCGGAATCGGAAACCAGATCAAAATAGAAAATAAGCAAATTACCTGAGCCTGTGACTTGGTAGGTCAGAACAAAATCGAGAAGCAAGAAGAAACGTGAAGCAGAGAGTTTACTTGGGAAGAGAGGAGAAATCAGAAAGAGAAGGGAGAGAGAGAGAGACGTAAATAAATGAGGAATATAAAAAAGAAAATTGCATAGGGAATCGCGACGAGATAAGAGAGGGCGATAATGGTGACGCGGACGCAGACTCAGACTCGGCCGAGAAATGGCCGATCACGACGGCTTCTTTTTTTTTCTTTTTTCTTGGATAAACGTGGGAGAGAGAGAGAAAACAAAACAACAAAAAAGTCGTTGGATAAGATTTACGCAATTCCCACGTGGAGTGTAAAAACATCATGGTGTTGTCATCTGGAAAGACTAAACAACCTGTAGTTTAAGGGAAATTACCGATTATTTACTCTGAACGCCGAGTTTTTTCTTTTCTCCAAACGCTGTGTTTTAGAACAAAATATTGACACTGACGCGACACACACAAAAATGAACGAAATATTGACACCAAGCAAATGTAATTGGCAACAAGCAAACGCTGTTTAGTTGTAATATTCGTACAATTTTAGAATCGAAAACGAAAATAAACGCTAATTTTAGAATAAAATGTGCTAATTAAAGAGCCAGATAAGGGCTATTTGTGTCTGTCAAGATTAATTTATAATGAAAGATTATTGTCTCGGCCCAATCTCATTCAAAATTTAGACATGGGTGGTTCATGACTTCTTCATGTTAGGGTACAAGAAAAACTGTGCCGAAAGTTAAACATTTTCAAAACTTTGGAAACGAAGATTTTGTAAATGTAAAAGAGAAGTCATAAACTTGGGTCCAATCATATTCTTTTCTTTTGCATTTTTCAAAATTCTTAAATTTTCCATTTGATCATCAGTAAATATATAACTTCATACGTAGACCTTTTTGTGGATATATTTTCGGTATAAAATATATAAACGATATATTGAAAACCGTTGTTGTATCTTCGAGTCGGGGTTGCCATAAACTATATATGCATACAAAAAAATGGTAAAACTGGACTTTAAATCAAAACCGTAATCAACCACTACCATTCTTGTTTTACTCTACTATTACCGTAGCTACCAATTATGATGGTCACGAATACATTATAAAGACACAAAAGAACTTATAAATATTCTAGAGAAGCTCAAGAGCCCTAGCTAGCTGATCATGGCGCTTCGTATCAACCACGTGGGGTTTCTTCTTATTGTTACTTCAATACTCATGATGGTGGTTGCTTCCGTAGCCGGAGAAAGTCTGCTGGTGGATTCTCCGGTGAAACCAGATTTAGCAAAAGGAGATACAGTTTATAATGAGGTTTTCCACGACGATTATGGTTCTTGGAGCCCGACTCCGGAAGTTAGAAGAGGTGGTCCAGCACCTATTCCTCATGAATTTACACGACCACGTAAGTCGAAGGTCTAATATGGAGTACCAATTTCGAGATTATTGATTGTCATGTTAACGACCAACTCGATACTTTTTTTGGAATAGTTGTACGATTTTTTCATATATTATGGTGTTTAAGTTCTTGTGTCATTTTTAAGTATCTTTATTTAATACTACTAGTTATGATAACCAGATTGTACGGGGTCTTTTCTATTTGTCATGCTTTGGATCGATGATAAGTTTTTCATACCAAATATCCATTTTTTTATAACGTGAGTTTTTATAAATTTAGTGTTTTTCTTACTTCCAACTTATTCTTTTGGAACTGTACAAAAGGGATGATCTATAATTTTGTCAATGTCGTTGTCATGCAGCTGAACAAATTGTACATCAAACACGAACAAAGGTTTAATTGTTGATACTGGCCTTGATGTTATACTCTAAAAAAAAAAATCAGAACTAAGAGACATAATGTTCTTATAATATGAACATGTTTTCAAGAACTGGAATATGTGAAACATAACAACATCTACTCCATGCAGCATGCTACAAAGCTTATTGAGCGATTTCATCTTGAAAATCAAAATTTATACCTCGAAATATGAAGACGCTCAGATTTGTTTAGTGTTTGGATCTGTTGAACTTGGCGAATATCAAAAACCCTAAACTTGAATATCAAAATGGTACAACCGTACCGTATGTTTCAGGTTTTGGTCTTATTTACTCTGTTCTGCTTTGCTAGTTTATCATCTTTGTATCTCTTTGGTGTTGAATCTCCTATATTTGACCTTTCTCTCTGTTTTGTAGGATTGTAGGGAAGTATGAAAGTTGTTCTCTTTGTGCGAAGATCAATCGGTAAAGAAAATGTATATGATTTTTACGTTGGTATAACGATTTATACGATTATCACTGAAAGGATCTTCAAAGCATTCTTGTTTATGAAGAAGAGGAACATATCGACTCTGAAGATGGTTGACTACTTCTAGGAAGTTTCATTGACTGTTACCTGTTGACTGTTGTACAAGTTTTCCTTTCTACGAGATGTTTTATATATTAGGTGAGGTTTTACAAATTTTAATGCAAAAATTAACTTTTTTAAAATCATTATTGTGATTTCTTTTAAATCCATATTTGTTCACAAGTTTCAAAATATGTCTACTTGTGAATTTTTGGGGATACAAACTGAGAAAAAAAAAACAATCCGACCAAAGCGGTGATCTCGGAGGGATTTGAAGTCACGTGGTACAGGTGGCATCAAACACATGTTTCATTGGGTCCCACATTACGCGTTCTTATTTTTATTTTATTTTTATATGCTAGATCTTACTACTCTGGCATGATCAATTGCTAGATCACAAAATGATGGTTTTCTACAATGGCAAAGAAAATGTTGACTTAGTCGAATCTTCTTCAACCTAAACTCTGGAAGATTAATTAAAAGTGAAACACACACGATTCATACATATGATATAAACCTTAGTGATTCCTAGTTAGTATTTACAGTATCCTCTCAATTCTCAGTAACATAAAAGTTTATATATTTTTTTTCTTTAAATGAAGAGAAATTGGGTCATATGACCATATTTGTAAGTTAAATTCATGAAATAATTATAGTAAAGTAAATGCTATAATATTCTTTATATATTTTATAATATATACAAAATTACCCTTTTTATTTTTGTCTTAATTTCTTTCTTTTACTATCTTCTCTTCTCTTCTAATCATTTTCTCTTTCTTTTTCTTTGTTCACCTCCGCTCATCTCATCTCTCCTTCTTTCTTTCTCTCTCCTTGCCTTCCATTTCCTTTTCTCCCTTCCTCTCTCGTGAAATTTCTCTCTTTTCCTCTATTTTTCTGTATATACTATATCAAAAAAAGAATTATTCCATAAAATTATATATAGTATAATATATAATATAATATAGTACAAGGTTATTTTCGATAATTGATTGTGATCATAATTACTTTACTAATTTGTCAAATAACATAACTATATTCTTCTATTATTTTACAAATATGATTATTGATAAAAAAAATATTTTTTCAGTCAAACTATGCGTTTTTCTTCTTCTTTTGTCACACAACATACTCCATCTAGGTTCTTTACGCAAGTAATAAATTTCGAACTACCAACAACCTTCATCATTGTTCAGTTAATTCTCAGCATCGATTAAATTGTCTGTGACTAAGCATGAAATTTAAGGGGACAGATATTTGGTTCCTGGTGATATTTTTCTTACTTCATTAATGTGATTTCAGTCAATTAATCAATCAACGCTCTTTCTTTTCTGATCTATATCCACAAAAACGATGAACATATGAGAAAACCCCTAATATGTTTTTAATTCACAGACGTTTAATTAAGGAATTGACATAAACTCTTATAAAGTTACAAAATATATTTATTTGTTCAATTAATTAATTAAGATACTGTTTAAATGATTTTAGAACTTCTTAGATTATTAATTAACAACGTGTAATATTCTTCGATATAAAAACTGAAAAAGATGAATTTGATGAATTTATAAGTTACAATTATCCAATAATTTTAGTACTATATAAATAAATACTAATATTTGCCAACAAAACAGAAGGTGTTATTAAAAATTCAACTTCGGCAAGAAAATAAAATTCAATTTCGGCGACTCTCATCATCTTCGAAGAGTGTTCAAACACGTATGAAACCAATTTTAAAAAAAGTCTGACCTTTGAGGAACAGAGAGAATCGAGAAAAACATTTCAATGGACATTTTGTGAATTCTGATCATTTTCTTTCGACGAATTCCCAAGAAGAAAAAACAAATCAGAGAGATTTCCGCTAACAATCAATTCGAAAAGCTCGAAACTCCAGACAGAGAATGTCAAATCCGATGTTCGCGGAGAAATGGGAGAGCTCAAGTAGAAGCAGCAGACGAGAGCATAAAAGGAGAGAGAGGAAGATGTGGAAGAAACCCATCAGGATTTCCCGATTGCCCAGCTTCGGATTCTCCGGTTCCGACTTCACAATCGATCAGATTCCGGCCATCTTCTCCGGCTACACTGCCGAGTCAGAAGATTCCTCTTCTTCCGAGATGTCTGATGATTCCAGAACTTGCTCTAAATCATCTGATGAGAACGCAGAGATTGACCAGGCAAGTCTCACTTCTGTTCTGTTTTTTTTCCTCCTCTCTCGATTCTAGTCGGAATGACGAGCTCAGTAGATGTAAATAGAATCTGAGATCTGAAAATTGGTGAATGTTGATTTCAGGAAAGGTCAGAATCGGTGAGGAGACGAGCGAATTTGAAGAGTATTTCTCGAATTTCAAGCATGAAGGTTCTTAGGAGACAGTCAACGAGGAAATTATCCGCAGGAGGAGGACATAGACTGAAGAAGATGAGATCGATGAAGCGTTTAACTTCAAACTCGAGACATATTCTGAGGAAGAAGGCTTTGGATTCAATTTCCAGGGACGACTTAGGGTTATTAGAGCCTCATTACTTGAGACCAACGAGCTCTTCTGCTTCAAAGAATGTCGAAAACAATCAGAAGAGTCTCCAAGCAGCTAGGTTAAAGAGAATAGCGAGCTTGAGATACAGTGGGTTGCTTAAAGCTACGTGTTCTTCAGCTATGAAAGGTTCTTCGTCTTCTTCCAAGAAGAGTAATGATGTTTGCAATTACAAGTACTGTTCTCTGCACGGTCGGCTTCATAGCCACGCAGCGGATAATAGTGTTACTGTCCCGTCTTTGAAGCGGTTTGTGTCGATGAGGAGGAAGTTTTTGAAGAGACAGAAGAGCGTGAACCGGCGTTTGGTGTTATTGAAGCGGACTTTGAGCAGAAAGAGAAGGCCTTTAAGCGGTCCGATTGTGACTGACCTAGAATCAAAGCAGATGGATGATGATGATAATGCAGACGGAGATTCTGATCAAGAGTTGCTTGAAGAAGAGGTTTCAAGCTCAGAGAATTGTGGAAATAATTCAGAATCGAACGGAGGATCTACTGAGATGGTGATGGTAGATGTTGATGGAGGAATGGATTCAGTGGAGACTAATGCATCAGCTGAAAGAGAATGTGTTCAGGAATCTAAACCAGAGGTTATGGATGAGTCAGATGGAAGAATTGACAAAGATTCGGAGAAAAACGCTGATCATGATGATGAGGTGGTGGAGGAAACTAAGAGTGAAGAAACGGATGAAAAGAAAACTGAAAATGTATGGAGTGACACAGAATCTAAACCGGAGATTATGGATGATTCTGATGGAATGGCTGATTCATATGAAAGAATTGACAAAGACTTTGAGGAATCTAAGGTGACGGGTCTCTGCTATGATGAGGGAACGAAAAGTGGAGAAATTGTGGAAGATCATGAGGAGGAAGTTTGTAGAGAAGATGATGGAAAGAATACCGAAAATGTATGGAACGATACTGTTACGCTTGTTAAGCAAGCGTTTGATGAGATTCTTGCAGAAATCACCGACGATGACTCGTCTGATGATAATTCTTCTGTTACAATTTCAGAGGGTGTATTGGCGAAAGAGTATGATGTTGGAGAGGATTCGAGTGATTGCTCGGATATGCCGCCTACTAAGCGAAGGGACACACATTTGTCTGTGATTATTTCTAATTCTCACATGGGAGAAGAATCTGAACATAGGAGAGGTGCCAAGAAGTGGAGTTACCTGAAAAGGGTCATTCTTCTCAAGAGGTTTCTCAAGTCGTTGGATCGAAGAGCGAGACGCAAGTTGCCTGATGGTGAAGAGAGTGAAGCACTAATGCGGTTGAGAAGAGAGTTGGTTGGAGAGAGGAAGAATGCAGAAGAATGGATGCTTGATCATGCCCTTAAGCAAGTCATTTCCACACTTGCTCCATCGCAGAAAAGGAAAGTTAAACATCTTGTCAAAGCTTTTGAATCTTTGATTCCTATGGATGGTGGCTCTAGAGGTCATGATGATCTTGCAAGTCCCGGAAGAGAAGAGAGCGAAACAGTGAACTCGCAAACAACGATCTTAAGAGACAATAAAGACACTACTGATCAACTAGAAGTTTTACCAGAAAGGGATCTTGAAGAAACAAAGTTAACTAGCGAAGCGTCATCATCTCTGTCTATTGGTATGAAATCTGATGAAGCTTTGGAATCAGTAGCAGATTCAAGTCATCATATCGCTGTGGAGAAAGAATTAGATGGGCCAGCTTCGGTGTCATCTATAGAAGAAGAAGAGAAGACAGGAGATTCTGAAAAGAAAAATCTGTCTACATGGAGGAACCTCATACAGAAGCACATGACTATGAGAGACAACAACGAGATGAGGCGTGGTGAAACTGAGCAAGAACACAAGTGGTCCTATGTAACTGATCAGATGACAGGTATTGAAAAGGATGGTGATGTTGCAGCTGTTAAATCGGTTCAGCAAGCATTTGAAATGATTCTCTCAGAAATCCCTGACCCTTCGTTTGATGATGAAGAGATTGGTTCAGAATCATCTAACTCTCTTAAAGAGGAGAAAGAAGGTCATGGAGAGACTAAAAGAAGCTGGAACAGCCTGAGAAAGGTTATACTTTTGAAAAGATTTGTTAACAGCTTGGAGAAAGTACGTGATTTTAATCCGAGAAAGTTGCGGAATCTACCTGTTGAATCTGAATTGGGGGCAGAAAATGTATTACTAAGACATCTATCAACAATGGAGCGAAGAACAGTTGGAGAGGAACGGATGCTGGATTATGCTATGAGACAAGCTATATCAAGATTGGCTCCTATACAGAGAAAGAAAGTAGAACTCCTTGTGCAGGCCTTTGATACAGTTCTTGATGGCCATGAGACTCCTAAGCAATCCAAGAGCAATGATAACAAGGAGGAAACTGCCGAAGGAGCACCGAGAGTAGTGGAAGATTGTGAAGTCAACGAAGATGAGCAGAGGATCAAAAACGTCTTTTCAAGATTTCAGGTACATCAAAAGATCTTGAAACAAGAAGATGAGCTTGATACTCCCCGGAACAATGTTGAAACTGGCGAAGAAGGAACACTGAGAGTAGAGGAAGATTGTGAAGTCAACAAAGATGAGCAGAGGATCAAAAGTACATTTTCAAGATTTCAGGTACATCACAAGGACTTGAAAGGAGAAGAGGAGGTTGATTCTACACCGAGGAAATCCAGAGATTTACTTCCTCCTATCAGAGATGTTAAACAGAGAATCGTGGTTGAGAAAGAGAAAGATTCGAGAATGTGGAAGCTCATCTATAAACATATGGTAACAGAGAAAGAAGAAACTGGTTCTGCAAATGGTGAATCAGTGGCTTCAGTTGAAAGTGAATTTGATGATGAGGCTGGTGGTCTTCAGATTGATGAGAGAAGAAGCGGAACAGTAACACTTGTTAGAGAAGCTCTTGAGAAGATTCTCTCTGAAATCCCGGACAACTCATCGGATGATCAATCTATGGACAGTGATATAACTACGGATCAAGAACTACTCGAAAGAAACTCCCTGGACAAACCAAAGTCCAACGAGAAAAGAGTGAAGGGGTGGAACAATGTGAAGAAAGTCATTCTTCTAAAGCGATTTGTTAGCGATTTAGGAAGTATGACGAGACTCAGCCCCAAGACTCCTCGGGTTTTGCCTTGGGAACCCGATCCAGAAACCGAGAAGATCCGTTTGAGGCATCAGGAAATCGGAGGGAAGAGGAACTCAGAGGAATGGATGCTTGATTATGCTCTGCGACAAGCCATATCGACATTAGCACCGTCTCAGAAAAGAAAAGTCTCTCTTCTCGCACAAGCTTTCGACACTATAAGCTTTGGGAGCTGTTCCACTCCCGGTTCTGCAACAACATCCAGAAACATCTCTCGTCAATCCAGCCTTTCTTCTGCGACGGGACATACTGAAAATGAAGCTCATGCTGAGATCATAAGAGGAAGACTGAGAAATCTACAAGAGGATCTCAGAAAGACTACAAAACCTGATCCTATAGCCAATGATGTGGAGGAGAAACAACAGTGCTCGAGCTTGTGGCGGTTATTATGCAAACAGATGGAAGACAACGAGAGAAACCAAACATTGCCTGAAGAAACACGAAATGAAGAAGTAGAAGAAGAAGAAGAACTGAAGGAAGACTCAAATGTGGATGGCGGAAAGATGGAACTTTACCAAACTGAAGCAGTGGAGCTATTAGGAGAAGTCATAGATGGGATCTCTCTTGAAGAGAATCAAGATCAGAACCTCATCCAAGGAGAAACAAAACAGAAGATTGAAACTTTACGTGTCTCCCAAGCGAGGATTAACAGATGGAGCAACCTCAAAAGAGTGATATTGCTAAGGAGATTCGTCAAGGCGTTAGAGAATGTTAGGAAATTCAACCCGAGAGAGCCTCGGTTCTTGCCGTCGATCCCCGAAATAGAATCAGAAAAGGTAAATCTTAGGCATCACGAAACTCAAAACAAGAGAAGCGGGGAGGAATGGATGGTGGATAACGCTCTTCAAGGAGTGGTTTCGAAGCTAACACCAGCTCGGAAACTTAAAGTTCAGTTATTGGTGCAAGCTTTTGAGACTCTTTCGGCTACAGGGAACTGTGACAAACAAAATGTCTTGTTTCACACGGTTTTCAATTCATAAGGTAATGAAATTCTCTCATAAAACTATATACTCTTTACTTTGTTTCTCCCTGGTCGTGATAAACTTTCTACAACTTTGTAGCGAACCATGAAAAACAAGATCTGCAAGAGTAATTAACTGGAAGACAACTAAGTACTGTGTTAATTGTTGTTGCAATGATGTAATAATATTTTTATTTTACTGTAATGTGTGTAGAAAGGGATGGTGAAACAAGACATTTTGGCGGGAACGGAACAGTAGAAGGGATGGTGAAACACCAACTACTTCGTCGCAACTAGCTCACACGATTGACAAGCTGATCAGAAATCGACTCTCCACAATCAGAATTGATGGACATTCACGGTACGAAACAGGGATGGAGACATGGTTTTCAGTCCGATAACCTGAATGGCGAAAAAGTAGATCCTCTGTATTTATCTGATTCAAACTAAGTTACATTATTTGTAAAAACGTCTTTTTTGTCTGGATTAATTTAACATATTTTTATTCAAAAAAAATGTGTGTAGAAAGAGTATTATTATTATTCAAAGGGATTTGATTTACAAACCATGAATAGAGAATCTCTCTCTTTCTCTCTACTCTACTACTTTCTATAGCCTCTAGCCTCTCAGACAACACGAATTTGTTAAAACCTTCACATGCTCTTGGTGTAGTTCCAAACCATTTGTAGTATATTCAGGTTCATATGTAGACCTTGAATCAAAAACTTCTCAAACGTGCATAGCATACCATTGTAGTAGACAATAAAGACTGCTTTGAAACGATGTACCTTACAGTACATGAGGATCATTGGTAGTTGGCTACAAAATGTTGTGCTCACAATGGATGTGAAGAATTCTGATCCCATGTTAAATCTCATCAAACATGGTTTTGTTACTTCTATGAAACATACATAGAAAAGAACATCATCTATGCATACGCTTTGGAGAGTGAGGGATAGTGAGGGAGGGGACAAATATTTCAACAATATATATTAAAGAAATCAAAACCATTTGAAACCTTAAAAAATCAAAACTAGTTAAAATCAGAGAAATCATTCTCAACTAAGAAACTTTACAGACGAGTAAGACTTCGAATGAACAGAATATTTATAGTTCAATAGTTGGCATAAAATTAATCAAATAATTATTTGAGAAATTAAGTTATTGCTTGTAAAAACTTAAACGTTCAGAAGCTGTGCAAACTATCATGGCATAAAGTTATTAAACAAAATTTTAAGATCAAAATATTTACTTACTAATGAGTATTGATCATGGAGTTGTTTCTGTCGTTCCAGCTCATGCATAATAGTCCGTTATCACAAACTTTTGTGAACTTGTCAAGTAGTCTCTCTTCTGAATCCAGTCATGTGGTTTCATGTTTTTCTAGAGATATAGGATCCCAAAAGTTGAAAATCCACTCATGTGTAAGGTTGTCTTGGTCCAACTTCATTAGATCCAAAAAATATTAGATTCAACTTAATGAATGTAATAAATTTTATAAACCATGATTAAAGGGTATTATTATTATTATTCAAACAGATCTTCTTAGCTTTCAACTGTAATGCGTGTAGAAATTAAAGGGTATTATTATTATTATTATTCAAACAGATCTTCTTAGCTTTCAAAGTGAAAACAAATTATTACATCGTTTAAGTATTGAATAAAACGAGAGACACATACCCTTACCAAAAAAAAAAAGTAAAAACAAATTATTATCGTCTCCTCCAGCTTTTTTAAAAAACAAACGGTCTGAAGCAGGAATTAATCGAGTGTAAATAACGCTCTAATCGAGCTTTATGCTAAATGATAAAGCTTTCGGTTTTTCTTGTTGAATAATATAATTCCCCTCTCACCAATTTCCACATTTTTGTGAAAGATTAAATAAACAAAAATAATATTTGACCGATAATTTTGTTTTCTTTGCGTTTATTTGTTAAAAATCACAACACGTTTTCTGATTATATTCGAAGTAGGAAAGAAAATCTAAGGTGCTATATATAAATAGGGATCATCAGATACCGTAGACCTCATTCCAAACAACATAAAATTATTAGAAAAAGGATCATAAAACTCTCAACATGTCTCTCTCTTCCTCCGTTGCACGTGTGTTGTCCTCTTCCACCGCCGTGAAGCAAAACCACCTAAAACGCAAACGCAACGATGATATCACTCAAGATAAAGCTGTACATGTGGCTATGCATAAAGATGATGACGAGCGTGAACATACCGAGCCGTCTCCTCCGTCTTGGGGGGTTCTAGACGTTCTTGGCTATTACATGGAGCCGGAGACTCTCTGCGTCGCCTCTTGCGTCTCAACCGAGTGGTTAAACTGTTTTTCCTCGGAGGATCTATGGAAGTATATCATGATCGCACGGTCCGCACAACCCTCTTCTCCCTATAAGTTTGCCTTGGAAAACACGGAAAACATCTCGTACAAACACCTTGTCTCCACCGTCGAAAGAGATGCGAAACGCCGCCGCAAAGATAAACCGGCGGAACTCAAGATATCACTCTCGGATCTCAGCTTCATCGTCCACGTGTCCACTGCAACAAAGGAAGCATCGGTTCTTATAAAGGGGAAAGATCTCGAGTTTGGCCCTAATGATAAGTTCCATATCGAAGCCGACGTAAGCAACTCCGGGATCGTTGTCGGTGAGAAGGACGTGAGGATGACGTGGCAAGTCGTGTTCAAAAGTAGTTGGGCAAACTTCTCCACGTTGGTGGATACTACAAGATCATTGGACACAAGTTACGGATGGTTCACCGACGAACTCCAGGACAAAGATAACCGCAAGCTTGTAGGCGATGTCAAGCCGAGTTTTAACGGCGATGTTCTCCACAAGATTGGATTTGCGATGATGGACTCAGACGGCTGGGGATCTCTGTTAGTTGACGGGTTCTTGAGATATCTTCAGAGGTTTTTGTTGGAATAGTTTTTCTTTTCACAATAATCTCGATCAATCGATGAGTAGAAGAAGCAAGTTTGCTTAGCAAGTAACCTAGAAGGTTTAATTGTATCTTCTCCTATTTTCTTTTCTATGTGCTCCAATTGTATAAATTAAATCATAAGACTATAGATTTCCTTTTGAAAAACAATATTTCACGAATCAGAGTATACATTCGTTAATCTCGGTTTACCATAAATTAGTTACGATATTCCAAGATGCTATGAAAATTGCAACGACGATTGATTGTATTAAAAGTTCCGAATCTATAAGATTTACGATTTTTAGTTCCGATCATTCAAATATTTTTAATTAAAAAACTTTAAAAGTTTCACTTATCCGTTTTGAGTTTCACAAAGTTGAGACACGTCATCAAGAGTAAACACTCGTACTGAGAACACGTGTACTATAACAGCTACGGAGACGCCACGTCACATATAGAGTATCTTCGTCAACACGAAAAAATCCTTTAAAAACTTTCCCAAAAAATAAATAAGAAATAACAGAAACAAAAAAAAAAATTACTCTTCTTCTCTATTGTCTCCTAGGGTAAGTGATCTTTACATTCTCATACTTGGATTAGGGTTTATTAGTAAATTCGTGTTGATTTTGACGATGGTCTGCAATTTTCACCTCTATTGCGGCGATTAATGATAAATCCAAATTGTTCCAAAAATTCAGAGATTCAACCAACGGAACCGCACGTGATTGGTTACAATGTCAATAAGGGTTTTGTTTTTGTTGATGTGTATTTGTATATGTAAATTTTCTAAACCCGTGTTTGATTTTCGTGACAGTTCCAGGAATTTTGGAGAATCAAAACCACATGGACCAAATCGAGTCACATGTCTCTTATGGTACAACTCCGATCTCTTCTTTGAATTCTTTCTCTCAATGCTCTGAATATGAAGTGTTTGCTGTAATGCCTTGCTGGAGGAACAAAGACTTGCTATGACTTATGATATAGTGTAAATCTTTCTCTTACATGTTAGTATCAGATCGCTCTTAGCTTTGTTTGTAGATTACTCTAATATATTACTTTGGGTTATGATCCGTAGTAACAAGTCCCTTGTTCGCTTATGTCGTAGCCTGATAACTCGGAGATAGGTGCAGGTAAAGTAAAAGAGCCGAGGGTAATATCTCCGGGAGGATCCAAGACCGACGATAGAAGGCAAAGTCACCGTGTTACTAATCAGATTGACATGATTCAAGAGAGTAGAGAGAAGCCTCATGGAGAAGTGAACATGGAAGCTTCCATATCAGCAGAAGATGTGATAAGAGCTGGAGGGTTTGGTGCTAAGGACGACATCGGAAGCTTCCTTCCGGTGGCAAGCGACTCGACTGACTTTGAGGAATCAATCCGCTCTGCACGCGACTATGAAGAACCGCAACCGGAGGTTCAAAGACCGGGTCTTGGCTGGCCTAAAGAGTGATTTTTTTTTTTTGCTCTGCTTTTACCAAAACGTTTTCAAGGACCTTTCAAAGATTTTTGTGTTTGTTTTTGTTTTGGGAGTAATCATCTCAAACTGTGTAAGTGGGACGAATTATGGAAACTACCTCTTTTATATATCAATCAATATTTTTATATATCATAATGTGACAATTTACGTTGACACCATTAGTTGGTGATCTAAGTGGGATGAATCAAAAACCAGCGACAGAAAAAAAAACGGAATTATAATTCAATAAGTGTGGCTCAAGTTGAGGACACTCAGCAATTGCTTTTTTTTTAGCTTTTATATCAATCCGATGTCTTGTTTCTGACTTTAATGAATTAAAACTTGCATTTCTCTCTTTCAAAAACCTTTTATAAGAAAATTATATTTGCATATCTTTCAAAGTGGCTAATCATAGCCTAGCACTCAGCTACTTGGATATTATTTGATGACCTTTTATATTGGTAACCACTAACCACTATACATTATAATCTTTTTGTCGCATTCGATTACTAATTTGGAAGCTGGTAGCGTATATAAGTTGGTGAAAGAGGATGATAAATAAAATTCAATATTCACTTACTATTTGATAAATGATCATATACAGTAATCAGATAGGCTTCCTAATTAATTAATGTAAGAAATTAGAATGAACAACTTTGACCACCCAATTTCAAAGCATAAAGATCATAGAGCTATTGTGTAAATGACAACCACCAAGCTATAGGGTATTGGCTTAATTTCGAAAATCAAAATGATATAAAATATTATAATTACACAACACATAATTAATAATTGCAAACAAATATATCTCCTTTTAGTATTTTTAGTATGCTTAGATGTCACCTTTCTAATATGCTTCATGAATAGTTTTGAAAAAAAAAAACCTTGACGCATCATATGCACTATTCATCATGTGTCATTTGTGATGTGTTTATACAGAAAACTTGTAGTAATTTCTGCAAAGTTGTAAATTTCAGATGTTAAAATAATTCTCAAAGAGTTTTAGATAATTACGATAATTTGAACGTTGCTTACAGTTTTTTTTTCTTCAAATAGTATGATTAACACGTATATTTCAATGAACTTTTAGAAAGTTGTTTGGTTAATGAACGATACAAAAATGCTATTTTAATAATTCAAGAGAGACAAAGGAACCCTTAATAATTTAAAAAATAACATTTCATATATCCCTACTTGTCTCTTCAGGATCAGAATATTACCCCTATTTATATCTGCACATCATAGGCTTACTTACTTGTCAGAAAAAAAGCTGGCACTTTCTAAATGGGGAAGAAGAGAAACCAAGTTTTTTTTTTTCCTTCTTCGTAGTTATCTTCTTCGCTCTAATGGTGGACGACATCTTCACTCGGCTCACCTCACCTAAGTATGTTTCATCTATCTCTCTGTCTTGAAAATTCCTTTTCTTTATTGCTAATAATCCATCTGTTAGCCTAAATTTATAGAATTATTTTTTCATGGATTCTTTGTAGCATAGACTATAGAGTTTCTGATCTAATGGTGTTTCATGACAATCTCTTCAATATCTCTTGAATTGTAGCAGAGAAATTCTTCGAAGAAATCTCCAGAAGCTTCAAGAAGATGACAAACAATGAAACTCTCGAATCAGAGGCATGAAAGAAATTCGTACATTTTCCCGATCATCACCGTCCAAGCGTTTTGTGTATGTATAAACAAGAACTGAAACCTATAAACAAGTTGTAAATTTTGAACTTCATCACTGAAATATCCAGGAACTTATGAATATACTGCATCATTAAAGTGGGGGAGACAAGATCTCAGAAAAACTTAGAACAAAAACAATTTTGAGACATCCATATGATTCGAAAGTTCTACACACCCACACACACTCACACTCACACCAACACTATAGAGCTAACCCCAAAAAGTTGCTATTTCCTCAAAAAAATATTTACCATCAGACTCTCTGTTCCATTTAGAAGGACTCGGTCCAACCACAACCGTTCGAATACTGCTGAAACCCACCTCGGCTTCTACCTCTCCCATTCCTCCATCGACAGTCCTCCACTCGAACTCCTCCAGATGGCACTTCTCCTCTCTTTCTCCACTCTCTGCTCTCTTTCCCTTGATCCTTACAGTTCCAGTTCCCAACCCTCTTGTAGTTGAAGCTGTTGTTGTTACTGTACTTATGATATTCACAAGATTCGGTTTTGAAGCTGTTTTCGTTGTTTTTGTGATCCCAAGATTCGATTTTGAAGCTGTTGTTCTTACTGTACTTATGATCCCAAGATTCGGTTTTGAAGCTGTTGTCGTTCTTCTTGTGATCCCAAGATTCGGTTTTGAAGCTGTTGTCGTTGTTCCTGTGACCCCAAGATCCGGTTTTCTCCTTGACTTCACATTTCTGATCACCCCACGAGTTTTCTGGTTTATCAAAACTGTCCTCGTTGATCCCTTCAGCGTCTCCCCATCCCGTTCCCCAACCGAGCCCGCTGTACTGTCCAGATAAGACCAAAGCATCGAGGATCACGACATGTTCTTCTTCTCCTGTAATCGGGTCTGGACCACGTTCAAGGTCAAGAATCAGCTCGGTGTCAACTTCAGCATCCCAATCAACGTCATCAATGTAGACATCAGGGTCAGGCAAAGATAAGCCACAAGGAACTCCATTTATCTCTGCCCAGTACCGGGATTTAGCGTTCTTGAAGGCGTCTTCTCCCGCTGAATCGTCCCATTGGACCACTCTATCGTATAGATGCATAAACCGCTTCGCCTCTACAACTTTCTTCCATGGAACTGAACCAACCACAGCACAGAACTCCTTCTCCCAAGCCGGAACAGACGGGTTGCAGTTACCTGCAGAAACATAAGAATCAGAGAGTTACAAAAAAACTCTGCTCTCAGGCCAAATTCAAGTAGAGAATAACTTAAAAGGTCAAGAAAAAAGGTGAAAACAATAAACTGGTCCAGGATCTGAGGATTATGAATCAAATTATCCTTCAAAACATTTTTTGTCATTAACCAAGTTAGTATGTTTTGATCTAAGCCTTATTAAACACTAATTGTTCGGTAATCTACAGTTCATTTGTTCACATTCATGAATTCAGCCTTAGAATTTAGATTAAGAAACAAATATCACAAACCTCACAGAGATGAAGTCAATTAGTATCATGAATTCTAAATTTTACTAACCTAAAGTACATAGAAGAGCTTAGAAACCGACATTGATGGACAAACACAAACCCTAATAAAGAACACAGCGCAGCAGACAGATAAATCCGAGGAAAACACAGTTTCGTTTATGAGGAAAAAAAAAACCCTTTAAAGCAATTCGAGTTCGGAGAGAGTCTCAAGTCACGAAACTGGAGAACTCGATACGAGAAATTAAAGACGGCGATGGGAAAGAAAAAAAAACAGAGAGAGAACAGAACAGGTCATACCAAGAGGCGGCTTTGATGATTGCGTCGTCGTCATGTCTCGCTGGTGATAATTGTTAAAATGGATGTTGTTTCTGGGTTTTTGTCTTCTCCGATTACTCATTATGACCCGACAAAGATTGAATTTTGGAAGAATAAACCCAGAAGAAGACAACGAAATCAGGACGAAATCCCTAAATGTCGAGGACGAGAGAAACTGAGAAAGGTGAGTTTTTTATTCTGAGCACCGAAACGGAGAATTTATAAGAAGGGTCAATGATCCCAACCCGATTAGTACATCAAGAACAAACCTTGGCGTCTCAAGAAAATTCCTTTTTTCTCTTTTATTTTCAATTTTTCAGGTGATTTTTTCTAAAATGGTATTTCCTTTTCGTTGGGGAGAAAAAAAAAGTTTTCCTTTTTCTGAGACGAATTTGGATACGTTGCCTCGTCTTGCTTGTTTCTAGCTGCTTCTCTTAATAAAATCTTTATTTTATAACTATCACGAATATTTGTTTCTATTTATGTTTGTAGAAAGGCGCGTGGCCTTATTAAATTGGTCTCTCTCTCTCTAGTCTCTACCACTACTGCATTAATTACTTTTACGTTTTTAATTAAATGGAATCGGTAAATTTTTAAATGCCTCATTTTTCGTATTCTTTTCAGCTTCCATAAGATGTGAATGTTACAAACAAATTAATTTGCGTTTAAGATGTCTGTTACTCCTATTTTCCATTAGAAAAGGCTAATTAAACTGTTTAGCTGTTTGTACTTGAGTTTAGTATTAATGAATTTATCTTCTTCTCTTTCTAATTTTTTTAATCAATATATAGGACTCGGTTTAGTTAAAACCAAAAAAAAAGTCTCTGCTTCATTCGCTGAAGTTTGGTCTGTGTTTTTTCTCTCTTATATTTTTGCCCTTCGTTGGTCTTGTTTCGTTGACTTCTAATAGTTATAGATGTTGCTGCAAATAAAAGGGATAAAACAAAGCTAGCTAAACCGGGATGTTAAAAAGAAAAAGAACCTAACCCACCGGTTTGTAGCTCAGTTTTGTTTTAATATGATTTTCTCCAAATTAAATCTAGCTTGACCGAAGCGGTCCATACAGAACATGAAATTATAAAATTAAAGCAATTTCTACCAAAATAAAAAAAAAATATTTACAGTATATAGATGAAAATTCGGTGTTTTCCATCAATCCGAACCGAAATTTGAACCCAAACGAACCAAAATTTGAACCACAAACGCAGTAAACTCGTAATTAATTCATTTCTCAAGAGTCATCCCGGTTCAAGCGGAAACTGAACGGTTTAAAGAACGTGCTTGGATTCCCGTCCGGGTCTGGGTCCGGGTCCGGGTCCGGATCCGGATCCGGGTCGCTTTGTACATACATGTCTCGCCAGTTGCGAGGAAATATCGCATTCCCATTCCCCCCTTTGTTGTTCATCGTTCGTCTTCGTCAGGTCTCCCTCTCTCTCTCTCTCTCTCACTCTCTCTCACTCACTCACTCTATGACGTCATGTAATATCACGATTTTCCATTAAAAAAAGCGACGTCTTTTTTTCTTTGTAACCGTCGAATCTCGCTTCCAAATCGTTGTTTGATCTTCAAATGTAATTTAGGGTTTAGGGTTTCCGAAAATTTCCGCTAAGTTGGCTCTGCCTTTTGTTCTTGTACCCCGTGGGTTAAACGAAAATAAGATTCTTTTGTAAATTTTCGTGCGGATTGTTAGAATCTCTTTCGCGATTTGTTAGATTAGCCTTTGCTGCTGTAAGCCTGTTCTTAGTGGGTTGGTTAGTAAAGACTGCTCTTGTAGAAAAATTGTAACTTTCAAGATTTCTTGGGCTTGTTTTCTCTGGAACTCTTGAAATTGATCTGTGTTCCTCTGCACCTTATGAATCTTTGATGTTACTTTTTCTTTTTATCTGCAACTTTTGTTTAGTTGCGTTGGTTTGTCTCGTACTGATGATCAAAGAAACAGTTTGTGCAATGTCTTGTTCTGCCAGGGCAAAAACCAATTTGGGGATGACGAGTGCCAATGAGGTTCTGAACTGCGATGATGCTATGTGTGAGATTCTTCTTCGGTTGCCACCTGAGACGACCTATAAGCTGATTCTGGTATCTAAGAGATGGCTTCAGATCATCTCCAGCCCTTTCTTCCGTCACACCTACCTTACCAAGTGGAAGCCGAACTTCCATCTCATCGGCTTCTTCGTCTGCAACACAATGTACCTTGGGAAACACGAACAAGGAACTCGTCGCCCTCGCTCTGAACTCTCGCTGCCTTTGCTCTCAACAAGCAGTCTCGGCGATGAAATCGAGTCCTCTGGTATGCTGCAGAAGCTTGGATACTACATCGACTCTTCAAACGGCGCTCTTCTCTGTGGCCGCCATCCGAAAGCTTACTACTTGTGGGATCCCAGCACACGGAAGCATCATCAGATTCCTCGTCACAGGGTCCATTTCGAAGAACTCTGCATGTCCCTCATCACTGAGGATTGTCCTGTTAATGGTTTCAGCTACAAGGTGATCCGCGCGGAGTGTGTTTCCTACTTGGAGTTCAGTAAAAAGGTGAGGATAGAGACTTATTCCTCTAAAACCACCACGTGGAGCTACTCTGAGCTGACTTGCCCCGAGCCTATATCTCTCAGTCCATGGACTCCGGGAAGAGTGATCCAAGGTGTGGTGTATTGGCATGCCACAGGAGGTAAAGTTGCCATCTATGACTCAAACGACGAGGAGAAGCGGATCAGTTTGACAAAGCTCCCAAAAACATACGACTATGATGAGCATGTTCTGGGAGAATCCGCTGATGGTTGTCTGCAATATGGGTGGAGCAACAAGTTTGTAATGGAGATATGGAAGCTGGAAAAAGTAAACAATGTGTTTGAGTGGACCGTTCAATTTAAGCTGAGTTTCAAGGTGATATGGAGGACGAACCCAGTGGAATCTAAAAAATTCAGCACTCGCACTAAAGAAACGCAGCTGCTCGCGTTCCTCAATCAGAAGTCAGACTCGGTTTTCATCAGATGTGACTCGCACGTCTTCAAACTCGACACACAGACTCGCAGGGTTGAAGAAGTTCAGTACCAAGGACGAGGGTCTTCATTCGTTTGGGATTTCTGCAGAGTCGTGCCTTACTTTCAACTAACTTGGCCTTCTTCTTCTTCTTCTCTGTTAGAAGACAATAACTCAATGTAATAATCAGTTTCTGTGAAGGCCACTAGTGTTATTTTGTTCGGATGGCCATTATCGGTATAGCCATCAAGGATTGTGTCTTTTGTAATGACCAAGTTTTTGCGTTTGCGGTTGGAAGTTGCGTTTCGTTATATAACTCGGTTTCTGGAGATTGGTTGATAATGAGTTACATATAGAGCAGAGTTGCAATCTAACAAATTCTAAATCAATTTATTTTAGACTAATAGTCGATATCACTTGTGTAGTTGCTCTTATGTTCTTGAACGATCCAAACAAGTTCAGTTTTCGTAATCCATTGGAGATGATATCATAAGTTGGATTAGTGTGTCAGGTGATGAATAAAGTCGTGGAGAATGTCCACATTCTTGGAAATGTAATGACGAATGTGTGTTTTCTATTTTTTTTTTAAACGAATATTTATATTTATAAACGTCACGTAGCTTAATCATACCCTATTATTTTGTTTATGTGCATAGTAGACTCGGTTATGGGACCAAACCCAATCAAATCAATATTGTATCATCGTTATTCTACCTTCAGTTACCTATGTTACGGATATTTATATTACAATGATTTGAATCTTATTAAAAAGCTTGGATTTTGAAGTATACATGACTTAAATATTAGTGAAGACCAAGCTTCGTATGCTCCCGTATTTGTTGGCAGTCTTGAGTTAACAACGTAGATAATTTTATTCAAGTTGGTTAGATGGTAAATTTAATGTTTAAGATATTTTCCAAAATAATTTTTTATAGTATAAAATGACTTGAACACAGAGCTTCAAATTCTTTTGATCACATAACTTTTTCGTTTCATCATTTGAGTTCTCTCCATTTTTTATACCTTCCACATATGAACTTTCTTCTATGATAAGAGTTGAGCGTTACATAATATAAATCCTTCAGAATTGTATGAATCTCTAACTCATCAGGATTCTAGTGGAAATTTGGTTTTGGATTTGCATGTTGACCATATCGAACGATATTATATCATATGGCATATCAGTGGAAATTATTTAATGTAACTACAATATGAATTAAGCAATATCTTTCACTGATATGCCATATGATGATTTAATGGTAATTTAGCGAACAAATTTGAATTTTTATTTATTTTCTATATTGTTAAAAGAGTGGTAGGACTGTATAACAACTCAAAAGGATCCTTTACTGTGTTGAGGAACTCAAATGCATTGTTTAAAAGCTAAAATGAAACATATAGCCTCGCCCTATGTTCATATCAAATGTGACTCACATCACATGGCTCATCATTGTTCCAATGACATGATAACTAAAGTTGTAATGATACTCAACAACGAATTTTGGACCACCATTAGCTAAATTTAATTGTTTTTTTTTTATAGATTACTAGATTTTTGATAAATTGAGCTAATTATTATGGAATTTTGTAAAGTAATATATATTCATAAATGTTTTAATATTCATACATGTTTTGAGTTTTGACAAAGCTTGTATGGTTTTCTTATTGGCAGTACAAGTTTGTATGTTAGATATCACGTTAGAATAAAAATTTGAAGATCAATCATCTGTTGTAGAATATTGTTTTGTTACTAAAACTGTATTTACCATTTCTTATAATGTCATTTTAGTAGATATACACAAACATTCACCGTCGAAAAAGGAAATATCAGTATGTAATTTTCGGACTAAAAAAGATTACCCCCAAGTAGAAGAAAATAAAACCCAAAATAGTTTTTGACTTGAAAACCTTCAAAGCTAGATATGTTTAATTTTTCCCCTTTCTTCTACTAATGATTAAACTGTACTATCACTCATTGTTGTCATTATTTTCTTTTTCTCTTCAAGCAATAATATTTCAGGAGTCCATTGTATTGTTTCATCCGATATCATCACAAGCTACGTTAAAATACTATATGATCTACTTTATAAGTCTTTAACATCTTTACATAATTTTTTAAATTTTTGTAAGCATTGATACGTTGACAAGCCACATGGTCGCTCTTTTATCACAAGCCAAAAGTGGCAAAGAAAGAAAGAAGAAAAATAAGTGATTGGTTAATAAACAAAAGAAAAAGAAAAGGAGAGTTTGAACAAGTCAGTAATCATAGATAGTGAAATTGACAGTTGGAAAAGCAGAGAGGGAGAGGGTCCTATATTTAGACGTCGCTTGAACTAATCTCTTCAAAGGCGTCTGAATCTCCACATCATCACTACATTTCTATCTTCCAAAATATCTGATTCACATTTGATCCACCAGATCAAGTTGGTTTGTGTTCATATAGGTAAAGGAAGATCCTGTCTTTTGAGTTCCTCTGCCATATCTATTTAACACAATGTGTTGTTCTATTGATGTGAAACATAATATGAAGTTGTTCTATTTTTATATGTCTAATGATGTAGAATCAAAAATGTAGTTTCTTTATGGATACTCTCATTATGATTCTCTTGATGATCTATAAAGGGTCTTCTCTTGATTCTTTTTTGTTCTCTCTTCTTGATCAACTTAATAAGAGGCTTTATCAACTATTACCAGGGAACTCCATTAAATGGCGAAGAGGAGGTCGTGGTTCGGTTGGTTGAAACGAGTATTCATCTGCGAGGCTAAAGCGAATCCAGAGAAGGTTTTGTTCCTTTTCTCATGTGGTAACAATGAATTTGTCCATGTTTCTGAATCTAAAATGGTTCGTTGTTGTAGAAACCAAGGAGATTGAGATGGGTGTTTAGAAGACTGAAGCTGAGACATCAGATTGCAACTACGGTGCAAGAGACAAGGACTTTGAACGAAGCAACAGAGGATCAGAGAAAACATGCCGTGAATGTAGCCATTGCCACGGCGGCAGCAGCTGAGGCGGCGGTTGCAGCGGCCAAGGCAGCTGCTGAGGTTGTCCGGATGGCAGGAAACGCCTTCACGTCACAGTACTTCGTCAAGAAGCGCGATCACAATTTGGCTGCTATCAAGATTCAGAGTGCCTTCAGGGCTTATCTGGTCAGACACACGCTACTTTTGAGATATCTTAGTATCTGTTTTGAAGCTATTCTCCTGCAATGTTTGATTTGTTGTGCTTGGTTGCAAACAGGCGAGGAAGGCGTTGCGTGCACTGAAAGCACTCGTGAGGCTTCAAGCAATTGTCCGTGGCCGAGCTGTTAGGCGAAAGGTTTCTGCTTTAGTAAAGTCTTCACCCTCCAAAGCTTCGACATCAGGCCTCATCCAGAGAAACACAGAGAGAAAACACTGGTCCTTGACCAAATCTGAGATCAAAGAAGAGCTCAAGGTATCGAAACATTCGAAGGTGGAGTGCAATGGTTGGGACAGTAGCGCTCTCACGAAGGAAGACATCAAAGCCATATGGTTGAGGAAGCAAGAAGGTGTGATCAAGCGTGACCGTATGTTGAAATACTCCCGCTCTCATCGGGTAACCTCTCTCTCTCTGTCTCTCTCTTGTGAGCTTTATATAACCAAACCGGTCAGTTTCGGGTTGGAGTCTCACAGAGTTGTTTTGCAGGAGAGAAGGAGTCCTCATATGCTTCTGGAGTCATTGTACACAAAGGATATGGGGATGCGAAGCTGTCGGCTGGAACATTGGGGTGAGTCCAAGTCTGAAAAATCCAGCAACTCAATTCTCATTCCAAGCGAGATAACAAAAGTAAAGCTTAGAACTTTACAGAGACAAGACTCTTGTGATGGACAAGACTCACCATTTTCATTCCCGAGGAGATCCTTCAGCCGTCTGGAACAGAGTCTATTGGAGGACGAGAGCTGGTTTCAAGGCTCCAATGGCTTCCAGCCTTACATGAGTGTGACAGAGTCTGCAAAGGAAAAGTTTAGATCACTGAGCACACCGAGGCAACGAGTAGAGCTCATGGATTCTTTGTTTGATAACAGTAAGAGGGAAGGGGATAAAGTCTCTCTCTGGTCATCTTTTGTGAGTGAAACCAGTAAGATGAGCAGCTCTAAGAAGTCGTCTCTGATCACAAACCAGCATTGTTGTTAATTTTTGAATGTTCATGTCACTTTCTCTTGTTTTTCCATTGTGTTTTTTTTTTTTTTTTTTATGGGTCTCATATCTCATGTTCTTTATAGATAATGTTTCTGAAGAGGGAATTTTTTTTTTGGTTTTGGTGTCTGCTTTGTCAATGTAATTCTTCTGTTCAAACATGGAAAAAATGATGATTATGACTATATGCATAGCTGGGGCCTGAGGGGCTTCCGGCAAAACATAAAGAGATACAGTAAATATTCTATCTTAGCTATGTGGAAATCGACCCAGAGAGAAGAATTAGTGATTCACGAGTTGTACAGTTACAAGGTTTCCACCAAAAAGCTTGAATCTTTACGAGACTTTAATTGGCATGAGCTAAGAAGATACTAACTACTACCAAGTCATATCGGAAAAATCCTGCTGTTACGCATCTCCAATGTATGATGCCATTTTTTTGTACCAAAATGAAATAATTGCAAAATGCTATTAAATTTTTCTCTAAATTGCATTTTTTATTTGAAAAAGAATATTTTAATTATATTCATTTATTATTAATTACTAATTATACATATACTTTCAAGTTTTACAAATAAACCCATTCATTTAATTAATTTCAAAAAAATAAATGTATTATGGTTTATATCATTATATTTTCTACTAAATAAATATAATTTGTATTTTAATTTTAGAAGTATAATATTTTAATATTTATAACCATTAATAAAAATAAAAATTATCATCAAAATAATTATTTATCTCCTAAAACAAAAATATTAAAAATTTGAAAGATTAATTTATAAATAAAAAAATTCAATTACAAAAAGTTTTAAAAAAATCGGTTACAATAGATATATCAATCAAGAAGTCCTCGTCAGATCCATCTGAGTCTTGACATTTCAAGCAAGCAACTTCGGTCTTTGCAAAGGCTAGAAGAGAGTGGCCACAACTCTCATCTCGAGTCCAAGTTGTCTCTATTTTTTCAAACTCAGGTAAGTACACCTCCTGTACAAAAAAGAAAACCAGATATTAATCAAACAAATTTAACAATAAATCTATCAAATAATACCAAAAATTTCAAATTTACCCAAAGGCAAGATATAGGAGGTGTACTTATCTGGTTTTTTGTTACCTATTTACCTAAGTTTAAGGAAATCCGAAAAGCTTGGACTGAAGGTGAGAGCTGTGGCCACTTCCTTCTAGCGTATGGAAAGACGGAAATTGATGGAAAGCATGTCTTGAAGTGTCAAGATTCTGAAGGATGTGACGAGTGTGTTTTGATTGATATATCTATAGTAACCCATTTCGTTGAAATCATAGCTTAAAGTTTTTGTTTTGACCATTGATAAACCACCCTCATTTGAACTGCAATTTAGCCATTTCGTTAAGTTATATAACCTGATTTCCCGAGATTGGTTGATAATTATGAGTTTATATTGTGTTTAGGTTCAAATTTTGGTTCGGATTGATGAAAACACCGTATTTTCATCTATATATATATATATTTTTTTTTTTTTGGTAGAAATTGCTTTAATTTTATTTATGTTCTGTATGGACCATTCGGTCGAGCTAGATTTAATCTGGAGAACATTATACTAAAACAAAATTGAGCTACAATCCGGTGGATTAGGTTCTTTTTCTTTTTAACATCCCGATTTAGCTAGCTTTGTTTTATCCCTTTTATTTGCAGTAACATCAACAATAACTACTAGAAGTCAACGAAACAAGACCAACGAAGGGCATATATAAGAGAGAAAAAACACAGACCAAACATCAGCGATTTAAATAGAGATAAATCCCTAAAATCCATTAGAACATTAGGAGAAAACCCCTAAAATCCATTAGAACATATATTACCAATACCCAAGAACACATTATTTTACTGTGTGCGCATTCGTTTCTGAATAGATACACATGGGCAGTAATGAAGGCAGATTATTGGGCTTAGTTTAAACATCCAAATAAAAACATCGCACTTAGGTAGGCAGATTGTTTTAGAGAGCTTACAACACAAGTAATAAAGTTGAAAACACCAAAGAGCTTCGCCTTCTCCTAAGAGAGGGCTTTCTGATCCGTAGCCTTATTCCTCCTATTCAGTCGCGCGAAGTATCCAACCTTGTTTTTCACGGCTGGTGAAGGATCTGGAAGATCAACCCGAGTAACTTGAATATTCTGAAATCCTTCCACATCACATCCACCAAGTTGCAGCGCCTTATTTATTGCGCTTTGTCCCATAAGAGTAATGAAAGCTCTGCTATAAAAAGCAATAAACAAAACACAAATCTTGGGTTTAGCAATTGATAACATGAAAAAAAAGTGGGAGGGAGGAGCCACTAACCTCTCGAGAACACCTTCGCTTCGGTCTTCGCTAACAAAAGCACTCAAGACATATCCACATTTAGAGAAATGTTCAGTCAGCGTCCTCTTGACATGTTTACTAGTAAGCGAAGCGTCATATCCGGTAACCGTCATGCTAACAGGAGATAATACTTATCAACATGACAAGAAATAACACATATATTACAGACAAAAATCTCCAAAAAAACAGTTTTACCTCCGCCCTCGCACTCCGTCTACGGCTCTCGTCCGAGCCAACACAGGGCGAAGGTGTTTCGAGTGAAACGGATAAGCCTTAACGACTAACTTGCGTCCTCTCAAGCGAGTTCCATTAAGTTTCAACGCCTTCTCTTCTACACCTTCTCCTCGAAGATAAATCAAGGCAAAACTGTAAAACAATAAACAAGAGAGTTTATATAGCAAATTGCATTTAACTCCAAAATCTGAGGAAAACCCGAGGAAAGACGCAACAAACCTGTTGAGAATACGGGTTTCCATGGAAAGGAATCCGGGAATATAAATATGTATCAGCCTTCCACATGAAGCGAAATGTTTTGTCAAACCCCTAGCGAGAGCATGGCCAGGGAGCTTAGTGTCGTATCCCTCAACGTAAATCCTGCTAATCATGCTGCTGCGAATAGAGATTGATCATATTATTAACATGACCGCAACACATCTTACAGATACACATCTCCAACAATCAGTTTGTACCTGCTTTTTCGAATGTCTGCATCACTATCCTTCAATTCCAGATCACCCTACGGTACAAACGATATCTAATCAGAAGATTCAAAATCGGGAAACAGAGAGATTACAGAAAGCCATAATTAAGGATCGAACAAGAGATTACTTTGATGGCGGAGACGTTCATGGAGAAGTTGCGACTGCGCTAGGGTTTTCGAGAGCGCAATTATAATAACCCGTTTAGAAAGATATTTTTTGGTAGGTCTTTGCAATTTGAATTTTCCGAGCAAGAAGATAATATATATAGTCCTTTTATTTATTTATTATTCTGGTGTACCGGGAGATTTCTTGAGGTGTACCGGTCGGTTTGATTCGGTTATGGTCTTGCTGATTGATTCTTCGTCAAAATCACCTGAAAGCTGTGATAAATCTAAGGGCACTGTGAACAAAGGTTCAACAGATATTTCTTTTGGTAATGTTCTTCAATACAGATATGAAAGTCAATATAAACACGAACCAAATTCGACCTTATCTATGTGAAAAATCAAGCCAGAAAGAAGATACTAACTATACTACCCAAGTCTCATCGGAAAAATCCTGTCTTCGCCGGATGAGAAGATCTAACAGAAAAAGACATATCAGAGAAGACGCTACTGATAATTGGGCACCATTAGAGTGGAGAGAGGTCAGAGAACCTGAAATAAGATCCCGCCGATGGCCTCTCTTGCATCGGCGGCGCGTGATCGCCACATCACGCGCTCTGGATTCTGGCTAAACAAACCCGCTTAAAAAAACGATGCCGTATTAATGAAAACACGCATCGACGGCTGTTTCTCGGCCACGTCAGGGGATAAAATGGAACCATCCAAAAGTGTGTTCTTTCCAACAAGATAAAATTAAGATTGCGGAGTTTTTGCTGAGCTTCGATCACTACTTATGGAGGCTCTTCAATTCGCCGGCCGTTTCTCCGTGAATAGAGTTACGTGCACCGAGAGTTTTACCGGAAATCGGAGAAGCAGGGCTACATTTCGTTCTGCGTTCACCGGAACCAGCAATTTAGTTTCCATCTCCTCTAAGAATCCATCCACGGTTTGGTTTCACATTTGTGTTTTTGGTTTCTATCAATTTTTTTTTTTTTTGTTATTTAGTGTACTTTTGTGATGTGTGTGCTGAGCAGAGGGAGATATGGAGTTGGGTGAAATCGAAAACAGTTGGCCATGGAAAATACAGAAGGAGCCAAGTGAGGGCGGAGATGTTTGGTCAATTGACTAGTGGGCTCGAGGCTGCTTGGACCAAACTCAAAGGAGAAGGTTCGATTTTTTCTGCTTGAATCTCTTGTAAATGTCAAAGCTTTTAGCTTTTAGTAGTTTGGCTCGGACCCAGAAAGCAGAAACTAAAAAGTGAGAAGATGAGTAAAGATAGGCACTTGGTTGATATATGTCTAAACTCAGAGAGAATAGTTTCATTAATTTTTGACAGTTTGTAGATAAGGGCAGTGTAAAAGATGAGTTACGGTTGTTTGAACTTGCAGAGGTCTTGACGAAGGAGAATATTGTTGAGCCAATGAGGGATATCAGAAGAGCTCTCCTGGAAGCAGATGTGAGTTGCGTTTGTATCTGTTTCATTTGGGTGCTTCTTGTAGTAGACAAGTAGTTTTAGTCGCTTGCCGGTTTTTGTTTACAGGTGAGCCTCCCAGTTGTTAGAAGGTTTGTTCAATCAGTTAGTGACCAAGCCGTTGGTATGGGTGTCATTCGTGGAGTCAAACCTGATCAGCAGCTGGTCAAGGTAATCAGCGATGAACCGGTTCTTAAGCGTGCGCTGGATTTGTGATCATTTGAGTTTTCATAGCATTTAACGCTTCGCCATTTTATTGCAGATTGTACATGATGAGCTAGTGAAACTCATGGGTGGAGAAGTATCTGAGCTACAGTTTTCTAAGTCAGGTCCTACCGTAATATTGTTGGCTGGGCTCCAAGGAGTCGGGAAGACGACTGTTTGCGCTAAACTCGCTTGTTACCTGAAGAAGCAGGTATGCTTTTCGAAGAAAAAAACAATGGAGATTCTGATGCAACTGTGTGCTCTCTGTTAAATTGAACTGTAACATTTGTGATAATTGATAACTTTTTACAGGGAAAATCTTGCATGCTGATTGCTGGAGATGTGTACCGACCTGCTGCCATCGATCAACTTGTCATTTTAGGTGAACAGGTACTAAAGTTTTCAAATTTTGAATCATTGTTTGCACAAGTAGAACCGGCTTAAAGAGAGAATCTGCATTTGATGATATATTTTCTGCTCCGTAATCAAATATTTCCTGATGCTCTCTTTGTGTCAGGTTAGTGTGCCGGTTTATACAGCAGGGACTGAAGTAAAACCTGCAGATATAGCTAAGCAAGGTCTTAAAGAAGCTAAAAAGAATAATGTCGATGTAGTTATCATGGATACTGCAGGGAGGCTTCAGGTGACCTTTCGTCTTTGAGAGTCAAATTGTATCACAAATCTGTTGCAGCTTTTACTCATGAATATTGCTTCTTTGTGGCAGATAGATAAAGGGATGATGGACGAATTAAAAGACGTGAAGAAAGTTCTCAATCCCACCGAAGTGTTGCTCGTTGTTGATGCCATGACTGGTCAAGAAGCTGCAGGTACTCAGCAGTTTCTGTTGTACATTTGAGAATCCAAAACATCCTGAAAATAAATGTACTTCCGAATTACAAGTTATAACCTCTTTGGTCTTTTCCTACAGCACTGGTGACAACATTCAATGTAGAGATTGGAATCACAGGAGCCATTTTGACAAAGCTTGATGGTGATTCAAGAGGTGGTGCTGCTCTGAGTGTCAAGGAGGTTTGTGTTCTTCTTCTTTTCCATCGATTATTTCATAGGAAGTTACGCTCAACATTGATAGCTTACACTGGAATGGGTGTGACTAGGTATCTGGAAAACCGATTAAACTGGTAGGACGTGGAGAGCGAATGGAGGATCTTGAACCCTTTTATCCAAATCGAATGGCTGGAAGAATTCTAGGAATGGGAGACGTGCTTTCGTTTGTAGAGAAGGCGCAAGAAGTTGTAAGTTTTCAATCAAACTTTGTTTCATCTTTCTTTCTCTGTCCCTCCCTCTTGCTGATGTCTTTCCTTGTCTCTTGATAGATGCGTGAAGAAGATGCTCAAGATCTACAGAAGAAGATAATGAGTGCAAAGTTCGACTTCAACGATTTCCTAAAGCAGACTCGCGCTGTTGCGAAGATGGGTTCGATGACACGTGTTCTTGGAATGATTCCCGGGATGGGGAAAGTGAGTCCAGCGCAGATCCGAGAAGCTGAAAAGAGTCTTGTAATCATGGAAGCAATGATCGAAGCGATGACACCTGGTTTTGTTTCTTCTCCATTTCCCATTAAACATAACAAGCATTCGATTTTTGTTGTCTTATTCTCCTTAAAATCTATTGGACAGAGGAAAGGGAGAAACCAGAGCTACTAGCAGAGTCTCCAGAGAGAAGAAAAAGAATTGCTAAAGATTCAGGAAAGACAGAACAGCAGGTACTCACTCACTCAGATTTTGTTTCCGGTCTGAGACAAAAATAAGAACAAGATTTAGAACTGGTTTTTTTGGTTCAGGTGAGCCAACTTGTTGCACAAATATTCCAAATGAGAGTGAAAATGAAGAACTTGATGGGAGTAATGGAAGGAGGATCAATTCCTGCATTAAGCGGTCTCGAGGACGCACTGAAAGCAGAACAAAAGGTTTCTCCTTCTTCTTCTTCTGCACTTTTAACATGAGACAGAGTTTAATGGATTCTTGTGAAATGGACCTTAGGCTCCACCTGGAACTGCAAGGAGGAAGAGAAAGGCGGAGTCAAGGAAGAAATTTGTGGAGGCATCAAGCAAGCCAGGTCCTCGTGGGTTTGGGTCCTCGTAACTCAAACAGTTTCAGTCGTTGGGTTACTTGAGAACCCCAACTTGGTTAATCTCAAAAACGGATTATTTTTGTATTATTTTTAAATTAATGAATATAGAACTCACCAACTTGAAGTACGTTTTGAATTATCCTAAGATTTTGAAAAGAAAGAAACAAACAAAAATCGGTGGCTCGGTCTCTTGTAACTAAAGTAACAAAACTTGTTCGACGCATTCTTTCCAATAACATGCCTTCCTCTGATCAGTTATTCTTAGAATCTCACTGAGGCACGCAGCGACTGCAACTTTCACATGGACGTCTGAATGATTTAAGAGTACAAACCATAAAATGCAAAACCCTAGCGTGTTCCTCAGGGATTGTATCTTCAATTTTCGGTTTATATTCGGTTTGAAATTCTTTCGTTCGGGTTCGGGATAATTGTAACCGAAATTTAGAACTAAAGATATCTCCGGTTAAGGAGAATTGTCACCCCCAAGTAAAAAACTTGTTCGATTTGATTTGAGACAGTTTGATTAGGAGAAATGCCGTTTCTCCTCCGCCCAACGACGCCGTGTCTCCTCTTTCCGCCGCCGCAATTTCAGCGACGGAGCTCTTCACTTTTACTCAAGCTTCCAATCCAACCGTCGCCGAGACCTCTAAGATCCGGGAAATCCTCCGTTTTCCTTGTTCGGGCCAATACAGCCGTCAATTCGCTAAAACCCTTCGAGAATGTTAAACCCTATCTACAATCGGAATCGAGAACCATCCTCGCTGGCTGGCTCTGCAGCTTGGTCTCTGTTGTCTCGCTTTCCCAGATTATCCCCAGGATCGGCTCATTCACCTCCAACCTCAACGCAAACGCCGCGAGCCCGATGAAACTCAGAAACGCGGCTCTCGTGCTGGCGGCTCTGTTTCTGGCTAGGGTCGTCGCCGGTTATCTGCAGCAAGCGTATCTCTGGGAGGCCGCGTTGAATTCGGTTTACAGGATTCGGGTTTTCGCGTATCAGAGGGTTTTAGAGAGAGAATTAGAGTTCTTCGAAGGTGGGAATGGGATCTCATCAGGAGATATTGCGTACCGTATCACTGCCGAAGCTTCTGAAGTTGCTGACACCATGTATGCTCTTCTCAACGTGAGTGGCCAAAAATCTTCACTTTTGCTTATCATGAATTGTATAAGCATTTTGCTGACTATAAGCTACACTTGTTGCAGACGGTTGTGCCCAGTGCTTTCCAGATTTCTGCAATGGCGACACATATGCTAGTTGCAAGTCCTGTTTTGACACTAGTCTCTGCAATGGTGAGTGAATGATGTGAAAATTATTGTCGTTGTTCATGTTTCTCATCAGTTCAAGGCTTCAAGCATGTAAAGTTTCTTGTTTTGTTATAGGTGATCCCATCTGTTGCGCTTGTGATAGCATTTCTTGGTGACCGGCTTCGCAAGATATCAAGAAAGGCTCAGATTGCCTCTGCTTCACTTTCTTCCTACTTAAATGAGGTCTTCTTTTCTGATTCCTCTGTTCTTCTTTGAGATTTCCTCATTTTGAACATCTATATCTGATATTCTTCTTTCTATTCATAAACAGGAAAATTACTAAAGCAAAGCTTTTTTTTTTATTTTCAGGTCCTTCCTGCAATTTTGTTTGTCAAGGCTAATAACGCAGAGATCTCTGAGACTGTGAGGTTTCAGAGGTTTGCTCGTGCTGATCTATCTGAACGTTTTAAGAAGAAGAAAATGAAGTCACTTATCCCTCAGATTGTTCAAGTGATATATCTCGGATCATTGTCGGTGTTTTGTGTTGGAGCGGTGACACTTGTAGGCTCTTCTTTAAGCTCTAGTGCGATTGTGTCCTTTATGACATCATTAGCTTTCTTGATCGAGCCTGTCCAGGTAAATACATGTTTTAGTGTGGCATTTCATCATATCTCGTCTCTGTAATTTTTGCATTTACCTTGATCTAAATTATTGGGATTTTTAATCTAAAGAATCATGCAGGATCTGGGAAAAGCTTACAATGAATTGAAACAAGGAGAGCCAGCGATAGAACGATTGTTTGATTTGGCCTCCTTAAAATCCAAGGTAATTTATAAACCTAAACTTTCCTCTAAGAGAGTTCGTTCCTTTGTATAACTCAAAATCTTAATGCAAAGCGCTTTGGTTGCGTCATGAAAACTAGGTGGTCGAGAGAGCTGAAGCCATTCAATTGGAAAAGGTTGCAGGCGAAGTTGAATTACGCGATATTTCGTTTAAATATGGAGAAGAGATGATTCCCGTCTTAGATGGGTTGAATCTTCATATTAAAGCAGGAGAGACTATAGCCCTTGTTGGGCCATCTGGTGGAGGAAAGACAACACTGATCAAATTGCTTCTCCGCCTTTACGAACCTTCATCTGGTGCGCACACATCTTGTCTCTGTATTTGTCTTTACCTTGATCACAAAGTTTAGAACCTAATGATTTTGTCATCTAAGCACAATTACTGTTTCTACTCTAATAGGTTCTATCTCTATTGACAAAAACGACATCAAGGATATCAAACTGGAAAGTTTGAGGCAGCATGTTGGTCTGGTTTCACAGGACATAGTATGTTCCACTCCTTCAAAATTTTCTCTTTCTATTCCAAGATTGTTTATAAATGGTTCATCGTACTAACTTTCTACAAAATACAAGACTCTGTTTACAGGGACAGTTGCTGAAAACATTGGGTACAGAGATCTCACGACAGGGATTGACATGAAGAGAGTTGAGCTTGCTGCAAAAACTGCAAATGCTGATGAATTTATCAGAAATCTACCAGAGGGATACAACACAGGAATCGGTCCCAGGGGCTCAAGCTTAAGCGGAGGCCAGAGGCAAAGGTAGGTCTGCAAGAGTGATTAAACCCCCAGTGATCGTTTCTTACTTCCATTAAAGATCCAAAACCAGTTTCATATATCATATTTTGTTATCAATCGCAAATGTGCAGACTAGCTATTGCAAGAGCACTCTATCAGAACTCATCCATACTGATTTTGGACGAAGCAACATCGGCATTGGATAGTATGTCAGAGTTACTAGTCAGACAAGCTCTTGAACGTGTAATGGAAGACCATACGGTAACTAAATGCATCTCAGCTCGTCTATTCTAAACAACCTCTTAAAGCGAATCATCATCACAGAGAGAGTAATCCAAAAACGTCCTGATGCTTGCATTTGCAGGTAATTGTGATTGCACATAGACTGGAGACAGTTTTGATGGCGCAGAGAGTGTTCTTGTTGGACAAGGGAAACCTGAAGGAGTTAAGCCGCTCGTCTCTGTTAAATACTCACAAGGACTCACTCTCATCAGCAGGACTCGTGATTTGAGATCAACATGGTATGTAGATAAAGAGAAGAAGAAACATTCCTGTGTGTGTAAACCATTCAATTATTGTTTAAAAATAGGAAGTACAAATCATTTGTGAGCTAGAAAGCCTACTGAGTTTTTGTATCTTTCCCTAGTTATGCCTTTTGATACATAGCAAAACTTGTGACATTATACATGTAATAAAATATAGCAAAAGAGCAAATCTTGGTTTATAGTCATGTAAAGAAGAAGAATGATTCACTGTTTCACCATGAAGGAGCTTTTACAACTACATCCACCCACAGCGGCTGGGTTCTCAGCTACCACGAAAGCAGAACGGATCAGTTCCTCCACGTAATCAACCGTAGCGCCTTTCACAAAGTCATACGAAACATTATCTACAACCAATTTCACACCGTTCCTCTCGAAAACCCTGCAATGATTAAGACAAAATAAACGATTGTTGGTTGTGAAGCACAGAGAATCGTGATTCGTCTACAAAAAATAGTAAGAAGTGAGGTGAGAAAAAGTACCTGTCATCAGGATTGGTTCTATGATCAAGCTCAAACACGTACTGGAAACCAGAACACCCTCCAGTTTCTACACCCAACCGAAGCAGTTTTTTCTCCGGTTCGCTAGATTGTAACTCTTTCATTCTCTGATCAAATCAAAAATCATAAAGGTCAAAACAGCAAACAATGTCTGCACCTAACAATCCAAATAAGGATTTCAAAGGTTTGAACCATAGATATCATGCCAAGCACAGAAATTTCGGAGCTTTGAGAACAACAGATAAGCACATGCGCAATGACAATCACTAGCGATGGATTAACAAACCAAATTACAATTATTAATGAAGTTCGACAAAATCATATGATCTATCTACACGGTAGGGGTCTTCATGATCACAAATCCAACATTGCCAATGGAAATAAATTCTCAAACTTATAAGAAATCATCGATGTATTCATATCATTATTATCGGTTCAATTCAAGCAATTTAGAAGTAGAAAAGCTCAGCAACTTGAAATAAATTCTCAAACTTGTAAGAAATCGATGATTCATTTTTCCATCTCCGCAGAATCGTGAACTTGTATTGAAAAAAAAAAACACAAATTATATCCAAATTCGTAGAAGGCAGTCGAAAAATGCAAACTACGAAGAAACACGATGCCAAAAAAACCAAGGAAACGGATTTTGGAGAGACAATTTAGAAATCAGATGTCATACCCGGATACAATTATCGCTAAGATGGACAGCGTCGAGGGAAGAAGATTCAGATTGGGAGGAAGAAGATGAAGCTTCTTTGAGAGCAGAAGCGGAAGAAAAATTAAGCATCCGATGATTTTCTCTAATACGAGCAGACAGAAACGGAACAACGCGTTTCACCAGAGATCTAGACATGTTTCAATCCTTCGGAATCTCTCTATCTTTCTACTATATACGATTCAGAGCCTCTTCGCCATGGAAGACAAATCTTTCAAGCTCTCTGGAAAACTTCTTATTTTTCTGGGAATTTTCTTAGTTCGTCAAAAACTTGGATTTTTAAGACGATGGAGGCGAAAGAAAGATTTGGTCGTGTTAAAACCACGCTTCTTTTAACATCCACGTAATCTATTTCTATGTTGCCCCCACAAGTTATAAACCTGTCCCAAATTGGCCCCATTTATTCGTTTTAACTTTATTTTGTCCTTGCTATGCAAATTATTTCCTGTACAAGGTGATGACTGATGAGATCTCTTAAACCGACATTAATATTAAATTATCAATACAAACATGAAGATAAAGACACTGAATCTAGAGAGTATCATGAACATCCTCATGAGCAAGAAAATGGACTTTTTGTATATACAAATCACTGTACATAATTTATTGTCGCCTTTTGTATAACTCTGAGGAACAAGCATACTTAGATCTCCTGAATGATAGTAAATATAAACAAGACTAAGTTTGCATGCTACGGTTGTGTTAGAGAGAGCTCAGAAGCAGCACGATATGGTCCATCAGTTCTGGAACTTTAGAGACATGATTTTCTGTGTCTCAAACAGAGGACGAATGTCTAAATAGTATGCACCATGGCTTCTGTCATCCTCTGTGTCCATGGAAGTTGCTGAGATAATTCTGTGTCGCAGATGATGTGTAAGCTGCTACATAACTTAGCGTAACAACACAATGTCACAAGTCCCTGTATTTGAGAGATTGATATTAAGAGATGTGGGTGATTCATACAGAACCATTTAGTAGTTGTAGCAAGAAAAATGTGACACTGTGTCATTCACTCACCAGATTTCACATTTCAATCTGATTTTTCCACCTCTCGGAATCGTCTGTCCCATTCGTCAGCCTCATAGTCTTGTTCAATCATATCTTTATCTGTACTATACACGATCCGCTCCTTCCCTATGACTGTATTTTGAGCCATATCCCTTGCACTCAGTAGCTGCATTGCATTAGTTTGAAGGCATTATTTCGGAGTTCCCAAGTAATAAGCATATTACGTAATTTTGTTGTTTAGAACCGTTACCAATATGAACATCTCCCTAAATTTATATAACTACTGACATGCCTACCTTACGCCGTAGTGTAATATCTGGAGATTCAAGTGCTCGTGCAAATTGTAGCCGAGCTTTGTTTCTATTCTCTATCTGATCATTCTTTCTCTTGATTGAAAACCACCGGACCAAAGGGATGGCAAAGAATGAACCTGCGTATATCTGCATCGTCGTTTGTACAAGTTAATGAAGGACACCAATCAAAGTAGTTTAAAAGGTTACTTAAAGCAAATAAGAAAAACCAAAAGCAGGAAACAGTTTTTGAAGAAAGGAGTTTGCCATATGAACAGAAACATAAATCATACCTGAAGTAGTGGATATATGTTCTTAACAAATGTAAGAAATCCACTTGGCGTGACAGCCATCTCTCTGGAAACAAAGACAAAAACAAGGTTGCTTTAGCGGTCCATATATATATACAAACAAGGGAATTTTAGGTAGAGCATAATATACGAGAGTCTTACTTTAGCATGGCGTTTAGAACGATAACACCGAAGAGATTAACCGCACCTAGGCCAACGACCATTGCTCTCTCGGTTGAACTAGTTTTACTGTGAATAAAGAAGATTCCATAATCAAGAACTATATAGTTGTAATTGTAAGATATAAAACATTCCAGGAGAAAACAATGATAAGAACCTAAATTGCCATTTTTTCTCCTTGAAGAACTTCTCCATATCTGCAACCCAGTCAAACCATTTTCCCACGTATTCCTTTCGTCTACTAGACCCCGAAGCTGTGCGTTGCAGGGATGGAAACCGATACAGAATGTTTCCCTAAGCAACATACAATACTTGTTAATAAAAATGACCAAAGGAAACACTGCAGGTCATGCACCATTGGGGCATCGCATTTCAAGCAACCGGAAAGAACATTTGCATACCTCTTCATCCAACTCAGGTTGACCATCAAACCGAAGAAGGACAGGTAGAATGTAAGATTCATCCTTCTGTAATTTTCATAAAAAAATAAAAACTTCAGAAGCTGAAAAGTATGTCTTTTACATTATTTAGTGATACAACAACTAGCGGTATAAAAAATTAGTTTCATTGGTTCCTTTTACAAGATACTATAAGCAGAACATACCGTAGCACTTTTGGAAGATGGCACATCAAGGTATGGAGCAAGTTCGTCAGCTGCAACAACACCTCCTCTAGCAGTTATATACCGCCCAATCTGCAAATACGCGAGAATACATCACTGGCACTTCATCGGATGAGTGGTTCGTATTTTCATTTTCAAAACTTCAGGAAAAAAAAGCATGAGTAAAATGAAGTCCTGCACATTACCATCTGCCACCTCTCTTCTTCAGTTCCTTGATTTGGGTCTCCATCTCCAAATACAAAGGAGAAAACCTATAGAAATCAACAATTACTTAATTCAAGTCGCTATCACTCAGCAGTAACTGTGTAAGAAACATATAGCATTCCATGAAAGCTTTCAAAATTTTCCTCTTACAGATTCAATGAAATTCATTCCGTTTCCTTCATCTTCTCGAGCTCGTCGCCTGTTGTAATAATTGGGATCCCAGTACCTTTTGATTAAAGAAAAAACTAGAATATAACTGACCCTCTCTATTGGTTTTCACGAGTAGATGAACTTTTTTAATTAAGCAATTCAAATTACCAAAATAGATCGACAGGGTTGATATAGAAATTGAATCCAGAATCAAATCCGCGCCCGCGTCTTCTTTGGCGATTATCATCCTCGCTTTTAGCAAATTCCAAAAGGTTAGCGTTAGCAATTCAGACCAATGCCATTGTCCAGAAGGATAATATATCATTGCAGTCACGTCAAATGGATACCTTTTGCTAGAAAGCAAGACTATAATTGTGGTGTAGACGATAACGATAGACGCAATAAGCGCCGTGCCAAAGGAAACACGAGCCAGATAGTCTGCAGCACCCTGCCAGGGCAAGTTACAGGAGAGAGAGCTCAGATGATAAGTAACTACATAACATTCAAGTTCAAGTCGATTCACTGTTAAAAGGAAATGGATAAAATGATTACAAAAAGACACTACCTTTGCCTTTTCAAGAAATGGTTCAATCTGTATCCTTAACGACTTGGTAGCTAACTTAGAACGATACTCCCTTGGGAAAACATAAAGCACATCACCTTCATCCGATACCTAAATGAAGAAATTTAGCATTTTCAATCAACTAAAGGAGACATGATACGCAATAAAGATCAATACTTTATACGATTAATCGAATTTCTGAGTCAATTTGAATTGATGGGCGTGAAATCGAACCAGTGAATACCTCCAGAAACCCATCAGTATCAGCGGCGATGGCCTGAAGCGCTTTCTGAGCTTCGGTAACTTTCAGGCCTGCTCTGCTAGCCACGTCACCGACAGTGACTCTCCGACCACACTCGTCCACAGCTTCCATAGCTCGTTTCCGGACATCCGTCGGTAACTTGTCGCTCTCCACCAATCCCCCTGGCTTGATTGCGCCGCTAACCTTATCTATACTCGCAGCCCTGACCACCGCGATTCCATGGCTCGGGAACTTCCGGCGAGTGCTCGCACACCTCTCCGTTAGGATTCCGGGGAAAGAGTAACGATCAACGGGAGATCTGAGGCGAATCAAAGGCTTTTTTGATGAAAAGCCGGATTGTGTTAACCTAGGGGAGACGATTAAGCATGTCGATACACACGCCATTCTCTAATTATCTTCTTCTCTAGTTACGCCATGGGAGATGTATATATGGTTCAAAATCGAAGCTTTCGGATTTTTTCGAATGCCTGGAAAAAAGTGATTCTCTCTCCAACGAATTGTAGCAGCAAGACCATAACCGAATCAAACCGATCGGTACACCAGATTAATTAATAAATGAAAGGACTATGTATATATTCCTTCCTCCTCATAAAATTCAAATTCAGAAGACCTTAATCACTAGAACTGAAAAATATCTTTTTAAAAAATTAAATGATTATTTTTTTAACTTAAAACAAAATAAATTAATAAAAATGTAACAGGTGATCAGAAACGTTTCTAAAAATTCTTAATTAACAACTATTTTTTCTATACAAGAAAACAAATTAACAGTTATATTTTACAATTACATGAACATATTTTACCTAATATAATATCACTTCACTTACCCAGGTTCGAGGTCATCATAGCTGTGAACTGAGGGAATTTTTAGAAATCGATCTTTGTTCAAATGCTTTTGTTAACACATTGTTTAAAAGAGTGGTTCAGTTAGAACTGTTCCAAATCGTATAAGAGAGAAAGCCATCGAATACAGATTTATAAGACGGATCATTTGCCAGATTGACTCTTGGAATAACATTCATTAACTTCTGGATAGACAAAGTATGCTTTTGATCAAATAGTTTCGTTTGTTTTAGATAAAATTTGTACTCATCGCCCAGCAATTGTCTACCTTTTGTTTTACAGAGTGATCCAGTAAACACAACACGATAATTTTCCAATAGATGATTTCTGAATATGTGATATTGACCATCAACAATGATCTATCATGAATCTGAACAGCCTAAATCTGACTAGTCTGGAAATAGAACATGAATATTGCCATATAACAAAAATATTTTCAAAAATTAAATATGAAATACAACACAACACAGAACACAGTACGTATAAGCGTTTTCACATCTTTAGTATTTGAAATTTTTTATGTTTTTCTTGTGCAAAATTAAAAAAAAAAAATCAAATTTATACCTTTAGTTATTTTGTGAAAATAACAAACTAAAAAATAAAAGTATTTGAATATATTAAGATCAAAAAAGAAGTATTTTGAATAACAAACTAAAAAAATAAAATAGCATTATCTCCCCACCTCAAATTGGTGTCAAGAAAGAAGATTTCATTATATGGGCTTTTAAAAAAAACTCGTCTGCTTTTGTATATGGGCTTCAAACTATTAATGGGCTTCAGAGATTGTAATATTTAATCGCAGAAAATTCACAAATTTATTTTGATCAAAGCTCTTAATAATCTAATTAAACTTCTTACTTTTCCTGTCCACACTTACGTTTCTTTCGGATTCTCAACTCTGTCTCATTTCATCTTTAATTTTTATACAATGAGGTATAGCTCTAGTGTAGCAATTAAGACAATGACCTCTCTCAACTCTCAACTATTCTGATTTCGAACCAAGCATTGTTTTGATTATATTCCTGTAAGACTTTACACTAGTAGAATATATTTATACATTTTCGTCTAAGACGGCAAATTACACAAATACTGAAAGATACATTCACACACATGACACACGTGCTCAATACTATACATCATCAATATAACAATAAGTCGTCATTAGAACAAGACGGCCTTGGTAAGATTGGTTAAATGTACTAAAACCACGAAATATCCTCGTAAAATTCAAATTCATCAGAACCGAAAATATCTCTCTTAATTAGGGTTATTATTATTGCGCTCTCGAAGACCTAACGCAGTCGCATCTTCTCAACTTCTCCATGGACGGATCAGTCATCAAAGTAATCTCTTGTTCGATCCGTAAGTATGGCTTTCTCTAATCTCTCAGTTTCTCAATTCGAATTTTCTGATTGTACCGTAGGGTGATCTGGAATTGAACGGTATCGACGCAGGCATTCGAAAAAGCAGGTACGAATTGATTTTTTGAGATGTGTATCTGACTATATGTGTTGAGGTTATGTTGATAACATCATCACCTGGAATCAAATCTCTATTCGCAGTAGCATGATCAGCAGGATTTACGCTGAGGGATACGACACTTCGCTCCCTGGCAGGGATGTCGTCACGGATTTGAAAGAACATTTTGCTTCATGCGGAGAGGTGATACATGTTCATATTCCCGGATTCGTTACCAACGTCACCCGTATTCTCAACAGGTTTGTGGCATCTTTCCTCCACAGTTTTCCTCAGCTTTTTAAGTTAAATGCAATTTGCTATATAAACTCATCTTGTTTATTGTTTTACAGTTTTGTCTTGATTTATCTTCGTGGAGAAGAAGAGAAGGCGTTGAAACTTTGTGGAAGTTACATGGGAGGACGCGAGCTACTCGTTGAGCCTTACCCGTTTCACGCCGAACACCTTGACCATTTGCTGGCTCCGACGAGACCCGTAGACAGTCGGCGAGCGCGCAGGTAGATTGTTTTTCTGTCGGTAAGATATGTTTTTGTCCGTAAGATATGTGTTGATATACTATACTGTCTCCTGCAATCATATTAGGATGTATGTTACGGGGTTTGACACTTCCCTTCCTGCGGATCATGTCAAGAGCGCGCTGATTCAACATTTCTCTAAATGTGGAAGTGTCGTGAGTGCTTCGGTTCACAAAGACCAAAACAAAGATTATGTTCTCCAGAGGTTTGTGGCTTCTTCCTCCCAAATTTTTTTCACCGGCTATCAAATGCTAACCAAAGATTTGTTTTTGTTTGTTGCTTTTCATAGATTCGCTAGCGTTACTCTTAGGGGGCACCACGCGATAGAGAAGGCGATGCAACTTGGTGGATGTGATGACGTACCAGGATTGGAGAATGTTGAAGTTTCTAAGGTCTTACTTCCAGATCCACCGCCAAGCCATCGCGCCAGGGGTGGCAATTTTCCCAACAATCCCTACAAGTAACTTGTTGATACTGATTCTTGATAGAAACATTCTTGATTCCAAAGTAAAACCTCTCATTTATTCGTGATTTGTTTTAGGCGAATGAAGATTCCCAAGGAGAATAACACTACGCCGTGAAAAGCACCAGGGCTGGGTATTTCCCAATTCCCTTCAAGTACATGAATTTTATTTTTTGATTTTTGGTAAAACCTCGAAGAATAAGACTACGGAGAACACGAAGCCCTTTGGTGTTTTCAACTTCTTATTACTTGTGTTGTAAGCTCGCTAATCAACAATCTGCCTTAGTTATTAATAAGTGTGATTTTTTAGTCTGGATGTTTAAAGTTCTTATTCACGGATTTATGGAGGTGAACCAGAGGATGTCGTCGCATATTTGCATGTGAATAAATAATAAGTCAGTAAACATGAATGGTTTTGTAACATATCGATATACAATTATTAGATTGTTGAAGTGTTAGTAGAAGGTAAGGTGGACTTTTATATAGTTTAATCATCTTGCTAATTGAACTGTAACCAACATTTAACATACTAACCATTCATATAGTCTAAAATATCAGAAATCTTTTGGAAAGAGTGATCTAATACATAAGCTAATATGGTATACCCATTGTGGATACAACAAGTACAGTACAATTTGGGGACCTGATGCTAAGGACAAAGAAGAAACAAAAGCCCACAACAAAAAATGGAAGAGGAACAAAACTTTTAAGCGATTCTTGGTCAGTACTCAGTCTATTGTTTGAGCGTGATTGGTGTGGAAGCGTTTTTTAGGACCTTCGACTATAAAAAATGGTCCCGTAAATATACAACACATTAAACCCCAGTTTCTTGTGAAATACGTCATTTAGTCCCTTTCCGTACGTTTGATCCGTTGATTCCTCTGTTTTGATTGATTCTCAAATTTCCCTACTTTGGTCAAAATCCAAGTTTGCAGTTGAAAACATGCAAGTAGAAATTAGAATAAAGTCGAGAGTTGTTGATATAAGCACGCAGCAAAGGTTCCTAGCGAACATCTCCACCTTGAGATAAAAGCAATCCAGGCCGCTCAGGGCATTCTGGTTTGTTCAGGTGCTGAGTCGGAGTCACTAAGATAGCAGTGCAAAGGAATGAACTCATCATGCAAAACTGACTGAAGTAGAAGTCGTGGTGCTCCGCACTGAATTGATCCGAGACTAGGATAAGCTTTGATGTTGATGGACGAGAGTGGTCACCGGAGTTGATAAAGTCTATCGCCCAGAAACGCATATCATGTAACATTCTATCAGGTCTCGACTCCCCTGCAAAATATATACATCAACGGAGCTGAGATATAAAGAGGATTACATACATTAAGAGAGAAGAAAATGGTGTCACCTCCTGGGAGAAAGTAGATTCTGGAATTCCACGTCTTGTCACGCAGATGCTCACCACTCTTGTCGTCAACATAGACCCAGATTGACATCGCACCCCGAGAACCCATTTCAACACCAAGAGCGTCCTTGATTCTGCGGTAGACCTCATCAGGATCCGAACCAAGAGGGAATGGGCAATCCACGAGGTCCCAGAAGACGGCTGTCTTTGCCCTTTTGACGGGATCATCCGGCTATGACATCTAAACAAACAAACAATTATGGATGGAGAGACATCTTACTCGATAAAACTTCCGCCGGCTCCATGGGAGGACACTCTTCTCTTCTCGCTTGATTAGGGTTAGATCAGGGAATTGTGTCTACGGATGAGAGAGAGAGAGAGCCCTCAATTATCAAAAATTAAACTTTGTTGCAACTTCTCTGCTCCCAAAAATTTCTTTACACTCGAGGCAATTCGTTTGAGGTTCGATAGATTTCTCGAGCACCATGACAACCCAGCATGCTAACCTGAACGAATGTGCGCACGATACGCCTACTATATGTGGGCTTAGTTTTGGCCCAAAATATATTCGAGGCCCAATAATGTCGAATATCCCATAAATTAATCATGTCGCAATAGAAAAAAATGAAACAAAAATAATTCTCTGGAGCGAATACAGAGATTGCGAAAATGCACGACCGGTTTGATGTGATGAACACACACATACAGAAAGAGGCTCATCTGTTATCATCAATATCATTATAAGTACATAGCTTCAAAGTTTTATATACAACAAAACCCAAACACATTTTGGAGACTACTGATCAGACTCGGGTATGCAATCTAACACAGGTCTAGCTCCAACCACTATTACATGCAAGATCTGCATCATCAGAAAGAGAACGTTGTTTCTCAAGTCTCTGGTAGACCATCTCATGGACCGACCCTCCTTGAAGCAGCTTCTCCAACTCTTGCTTATGCACAACTATCTTCATTCTTACAACACTCACATTCTTCATGCCATCTCCGTTGATCTGGCTTTCATCGCTAGTATCATCACCATCTTCGTTTGGTTTTCTTTCGTCTTCTTCCACCTCAGGATCCGCAAACGTCACTTTCTTGGTTTTCTTTTTCTTTTTCATTGCTGTAGGGAGGAGATAGTAGAGATGATCGGGGAGAAGCTTAGCATCAGGCAGAAGATGACAAGTGTTGCAGTTGTCAAAGAGAGAGTGACCAGAGAATTGCGAAAGGATGTGATGAACACTAATGGGTTCTCTATATTCAAGTACCTTCCCATCATTCCTCACTATCTTTATCACTTTCTTCTCCATTACTAAACAGTTTCCCATCTTCTTCTTCTTCTTTTTTGAGTTTTTCTCTCTTTTGTGCTTTCTGTTGTTTGCTAGGACTAGGAGATTTGAGTTTGTATATTTATAAGAGCTTTTGGGTTTTCGTTAAAGTTACGTTTAGTGTCATATCAGGTGGGGTCCGGTTTGATTCTTCCCTCTTTTCCTTATTTTTTTTTTATAGTGGGTGGGGTGGTGTGGTCGGGTGGTGCATTTTGTTCATTGTTCTATGTATCTTCATATGATTTTTTTTCTTTTTAATTATGAAAAACGAGATCAAGTTGGTATTTATACCACAACTAATGTAGTGATATAATGATCCCGTGCAAGCTGTTATTTTTTTCTTTTTCATCTCGACCTCCGTACTAAATGTATGGACTATACATTTACTGTCAATTCATTGTTTGGTTTACCTTCTAACTTATAAGTAATTTTAATTATCATAGATTTAAGGATATCAGGTGATATTTGTATGCCTATAATTTAAGAAATACGGTAGAAATCAGAAATGAGAAGTAGAGATGAAACTAGAAGATGAAATAAGCTATGGTCAACACAGACCATCTAAATGACATATAGGTAATGGGTGGGTATATGAGAACTGTATAGGGCTTCAAACTTTCAATCAAATGTCTGTGCCACAGTGGTTTCTATCTTTTATAGTATATTGTTTCAAGGTCAACGATCGATTAGCAACGAATGCACACAGTAAAATACTTTGCTCACATGATATCGATAATGTATGTATGTTACGTTCTAATAGATTTAAGGGGTTTTCTCATAAAGATAACAGGTGGATATTTGTTGTATATAATGGACAAGAATTGAAAAACAAAACAAAATTGCGTTAACCACAATTAAATAATTAATTTATTTCATTCAATAAAACCATATGGGTCATAGGGAATTTTACTACAAAATTACGTTAACCATATATGTTTTAATTTATCATTCTAGGAAATTATCTAAGCAAAACCCTTTATCAAAAAAAAAATTGTTATCTAAAAATACATACTAGAATGGCAAAATGTTCTGTCACAATCACTCGAGTCCTTGACGTTAAAAAAAACTAGAAAAAATTAGCATGCCTTAAAATTTTGCCTACAAACGTAGGGCATCGAGTGCGTTTCATCTCTTATAGTGGTGGTGGCAGAAAAAATGTTCACATATCTCAGTCGGTGGAATCGTTTTTGGAAAACTTAACCAAGTCCCAACTTTTCTCCTAAGTATTCGTAAATGGTTCAAATAATCAGGTGTTAGATAGTTTATTCGCATATTCAAACAAGTATTTTTATTGTTTCTGTTTGATTAACTTGATATTAAATTGTTATAGTAATTAATACTATTCAAATTTGTGAGTTCAGTACTATGATCTCAACGTATATATGCATCTCATGTTCATGTATATCTAAACCTGGAAAGTTATGTTAGCATGCGGACAATTTAATTATCCCCTTAAAATTGCATCTAAAACCCTTATGTAAGAACACTGGTTAAAATGCTAAATCAAGAGAAAAACTGCAAAACGTAGATAGAGTGGTGAATGCAACGCAACTAGTTTTTTCAGGCATGTCACTGTTTCTTAGTAAATAGTGTTTTTTTTGGGATGTCACTGTCTCTGATTGGTTACCACATATTATGTCCTAGGAAAATTTTCTTCAAAGAGCATAAGCAGCCCACATTCAAAGGCCAAATCAACCGATGATTTGCTTTGGTTAACTTTTGAATATTCAACTCTCTCTTTTTTTCAAGTCTTTTATACTATTTTAATGCTTTTTGTTATAAAAAATGTTGAGTTATCTAGGTTTTATTAGAGGATGCATGTGACTGTAATCATACAAAATATATATTACCCTGACAAAAGACCAATACCAAAAACATTCCGTAAGAAGCTATAATTGTTGTACAGAATTTAAATTAAGTTATATAAGTCAAAATGTTTTGTGGTAGAAATAAGAACCTCTGAATCGTATACTAAAAGTGAAGTAATGGCACAATGTTAATTCACGTGAAAGCTAATTATGACAAAATGTTAAAGCGCGTACGAATAATTACAGTATGTAGAAAAGAAAAGATAATGTTAATTATGTACTTGTAATGTTGTACCGAAAAAAGTTTATAAAAGAGGAGGGCGACATAAAATCGATATAAAATTTACTAAAAATAAACAAACACATTACGCTAGCAGAGGATGAGATTCCTTTTTCATTCTCTTTTTGGGAAGTACAGAGCCCTTTTGTGATCCTTTGGACAAAAACACGAAGTGACGAAGGCAAAAGGAATTTAGATTTCTCGTCTTGAGTTCCCAATGCTTTTGGTCGGCTCACGTGCTACGCTGCAGCAAATCTACTTATGGCACGTGGCGGTTCTCTGTTGGCAGGCACCGTCCAAAGACTATTGCTTTTGCTTCTAACACGTTTTTTTCTTTTTTCGTTCTTCTTTTTAAAAACAAATTTTGATATGAAAGCTCAAAATTCAAATATAACCCAAGAATTGAGGTTTTTCTTATATGTAGGCCAAGAAATTTAGGCATTATATCAATAATACTCTCGAATTGGACTCGAACAAGTTAAATATACTGTATTCTCCATCATTGGTTTACAAACTTTTGATTTTGATGGTTGATTTTGTCTTTAATAGTAGTATGAAATAAGTAGTTAACTTTATTAACTATGCATCATATTTTATGTTTTTGACAGTTAATGTACTATTTCCTTTATGTTTGTTTGGGCTAAACGTGGGCCTGATAAACTATCCATTAAAGACCACAATACCAACCAAACCCTTCTTACATTTGTAAAATTTGTAATTTTCTGCGATCAAATATTACAATCTCTGGAAGGCCTGAAGCCCATATGAAAAGCAGACGGAAAGTTTCAATTAAGAAGGTAGAGAGGGGGTTATAACAACGTTAAATCGTATCGGTTTCTTCTAATCAACAAAAAATTACAAGAAGAAAATCGATGGCGGGGATACTTGTGAACAATATCCTCCCTCAACCTCCGATTCTCGTACCGGTTTCTTCTTCTCGAAGCAGATCAATCCGAACCCTAGTTATGGTTAAAGCTTCCGCTGAACCTTCCGAGTCAGTTTCAGTGTCCACGAAATCCAGCGACGACACCGGAGCAGTGGTGTTCACTGCTCCTCCCGGTTTCAAGCCTCCCGAGCCGAAACGCTTCGCCGTCAAACCCGGAAAACTCTTCGATGTCTTGGGTGCAGCCATCGGTTTGTTTTTCCGATTCGGCACTGGGGTTTTCGTTTCTGGGTAAATCGCCTCACTCTCTTCTCCCCCAATTTCGTTTTCTTCGCATTTCTGATCCTTTTTTGAGCTTGAATTGAGTGTGTTCACAGTCGGAATCACTCTTGTTTATGCTTGATGGTTTCGATTGGTGTAGCTACGGTTAATTGATTTGATTCCTCTTCGTTGTATCTTATCAGGTACTCTGCATCTTTCGTGTCCAAGGACGAGGTTCCTGCTGACCAGTATGCGTTGCGAATTGGCGGTAACCATGAACAATCATCACTAAAGCTTTTCACTTTCTGTTTCTCTTGTTCTAGATTTTATAGGGGAATTTTGATGAAATGGTGTTCCAAGATTAGGAAAATTTCCCTAAAAGCTGTGGGTTTTGTTTGTTATCAGATGGGTTTGTGAATAGATATGGTAATCATAATGGGTTGATGCTATGTGTAGGGATCACGGTGAAGGAAACCTCAAAGCTCGGGCCTCGCCCTGAGAAACCTATCGAGATATACGAGTTTGAAGGGTATGTATGATCTATTGACTGTGTGTTTGATTGCTCTTTTAGACTCATTTGGTTTCTATTCTCTTTTGATATTGAACGAATGTTTCATTTCTCTCCATTTCCGGTATGCGAGTATAGCTGCCCCTTCTGTCGGAAGGTAACTCTCCCTTCTTTAGGTTTTACGGAATCAATCTCATCGTCTTAGATGTTTTACAATCAGCCTAACATTCTGAAGATTTTGTTTTACTTGAAATCTTTGATTTTTAGTCTTGCCTGTCAATCGTTTTAGCTTTTCCTCTTTTGTCCGAGTCCCCTTAAAAGTAAAATGCGTGTCTTTGTGTATGAATTAATTCGTGATGCATTGCAATAGCTTTGAGAAAGTATACTAATATGGAGAATTTTCGCAGGTCAGAGAAATGGTGGCAGTGTTGGATCTTGATATTCTTTACTATCCTTGTCCAAGAGGGAGTCCAAATTTCCGCCCGAAGGTGCTTCAGATGGGCGGGAAACAACAGTTTCCGTACATGGTTTGCCATTTTATCCTAATGATTTTCTATTCTTTTTTCATCCAACCTATGAATGCCATCCTTTGATCTTTGCGTCGAGTTCAAATTCATGATGCGTTGCAATATTAAGTTCTCCTTTTTTCTCTCAGAAACCTTAGAAATGTTGGCTTTTTACGCTTATATCCACAAACTCATGTCTGTTGCCTTGCCACCACCACTCTAAATCAGTAAGAAATATGATTTTAATGTTCTGTGTTTGATTATATAATCTCTCTTTTAATTATAGGTTGATCCCAATACCGGAGTGTCCATGTATGAATCAGATGGAATCATCAAATATCTATCCGAGAAATATGGTCGGTTCCTGCTTCTGTTTACCAGATCCATTTATAGTTTATTGGCAGTAACATCATCTTTTTCAATTGTCATTCAAGTAATATTTTTTTCCTCTGTTTGGTTTAACTTGTTCAGGAGATGGAACCGTTCCTTTAAGTCTGAAACTTGGCCCATTAACGGTTAGTTTCTTTGCACATGTTGCCGATTATATTCCTTCGCTTCACAGTTCACACAGTCAAAGATTAAAATTAGTATTGCTACTTTGATGTTTTTAGGCTATAACAGCTGGCTTTGCAATGATTGGCCGTATGGGAAAGGTAAGAAGAACTTCTATTACATTATTTGGCGTTTATTCATTTATTCTCTATAATACAATGCCAACGAAACTTATAAGATCAAATGTTCCTCTATGGAATAGTATGCTATATTTTGTTTAGTAGTAGCATCACTTGCCACTATGCATTATACAATATGGGTTTCAGCAACAGTTTTGTCTCAAAATTCTTGTTTTTTTACAATGCAGGGTAACTTGTACACACCAGCAAAACTACCACCTAAGCCACTCGAATTCTGGGCTTATGAGGTCTGATCTCATACACCATTTTTTTTTTATATTTAAAAACCTCACTCTTATTAAAGATACAATCTCTGTTTGAATTGCCCTGCAGGGTTCTCCATTTTGCAAGCTGGTCCGGGAAGTTCTCGTAGAACTGGAGTTACCACACATCCAGCGCAGGTATGGCAACAAAACAACAACAAAATCTCTTAGAACAGCCACCATCTACTGTTCTTCGTATATTGTTTTCAAACCCAAAGGAGCAATATTAGTCTTTTCTTGATATAAGCTTCTTTTGTTTGTTGTCTCCATCAGTTGTGCTAGGGGTAGCCCCAAACGGCAGGAATTGCTCAGGAAAGCTGGTCACTTTCAGGTGAGTTAGAGAAATACAAACATAGAGATAGAGAAGTTTCGGAATGTGATGATATGTGTTTTTTTTTTGTATATAAAAAATAGGTGCCTTACCTGGAAGATCCAAACACTGGAGTAAATATGTTCGAGAGTGCAGAAATCGTAGAGTATCTGAAGCAAACTTATGCTGCTTAAGTTTATCTTCTTCTTCATTCTATACGCGTTATATAGATATATCTGTGAATGTGTAAGCAAACTTTGCTACTTTCTGTTTCAGCAATAAACTCAACTCAGTTATGTGTAAGTGTAGGGGGTTTAGTGATTAAGAAATGTACTTATATAGAAAGCAAATATATAATGTGACATGTTTCTCTAAGGGTTGATCTTCTTTCTTGCCGTCGGTTTTCCGAAACTAGAATTAGACTTCTGTAAAATTTCAAGATGGCTTATTTCGTGGTTCGGGTTGAATCAGCTAGTCATTTTACTGTTGTTCAAAACTCGGTTAAAATATTATTAAAAAAAAAAAACAGTTATTGAAAAAATAGATTGAATTCGGTTAAAAGAATTTGGGTTTAAAATTATTGAAAAAATAGATTTATGCGACGGAGGAATGAGATTGAATGATGAAGTGGTCCGAGTCCGAGTATATCATTACAAGGTCAACCAACACATTTGTGGTCCGTTCATTTAAAATTTAGGTTGGATGGTCTTTTGTTTCTTTTCATGTGTCCTTTTGTACATAGATTTTGACAAAATTTGTTATTTAATCTCTGAATTGAAAATTCGGAAATTCGAATCTGAAGTTTCAAAAATGTTTTCCCTATAATTGTTTGTTAAGTTGTTAGTGGTTGAATTGTCTGCTTTTGCACTTTAGTTACTTGTTATGGATGGATAATGTTAGTTAATTGCTTGTTATGATTACATTTTTTATCGATATCACGTTAAGACAATCAGTTTATATACAAATGGAGGGAAATGTGTAGTTGTGCAACATTTGGTAGGGTCAAAGAAATATCGATTATCAAAAATCAGTGTTTCATAAAATTATATTGTGTTGATTCGTGCCCCCCCCCCCCCCCCCCCCCCCCCTCAATAAAGTGTTTTTTTCTGATTGAGTTTGTGAGTTATAGGGCACAGTCCAATTTTTCAAAATTTTATTAAACTATTCAAAACAACTAAACTACTTTCTGTTTTATTCAATAACTTAGAAAAAGGTAAACTGAAAAAGGCTAAGCACGATTCTTTTCTGTATGGTATATGGTGGCATTATGATTTTAGATATGCAAACGATTTCTAACTTTATGTTATTTATTTCAATCTTTTAATTTTAAAGTGCAATCAAGTACTCTAGATTTTCTATTATTTTATTTTGAGAAAAACAATGGTATGCTTAACATATATATATTTCCCCTCTTAAAAAACAAAAAAAAAAAATTGTTCCATATAACTTATCTATTTTGTATCTTTACCTTTACGAAGTTTATTGATACTAGCAAGAACATAAACTGAAAGAGTTTTTAGACAGATCGTTAAATATTTAGTACTAAGTAAGTTAGCTTTCAGCAATTATTTGCATGTACCTATAGTCCCAACTCCCAAACTTGTTCATAAGTTTACATTAACAAATTATTAAGAATGGTCAACTATTTTAATCTTAATTTATTTATTCATATGCACATAAGGTATAAAATTTGGAAAGCGTTAACGTTCGCTTAACGTACAATAATAGACCGTTGGAGTCTGCAATTGAAGGAATCTAGGCAAAAGAAGGAGATAAAAGATATTTCGAGGTAAAAACCGAAGAGAAAAATACTTTATACAGAGCAAAGTGTAATAAATCAAAAGTTTTACTCCTGTAACAAGAGGGCTAGTTATTAATTTCAAGAAGGTTATACGGTCAAAACTAGAATAACATAAAGATCGGGGTCTTCCGACAAAAGTCCATCGATCCACTTAAACACTTCCACAATGTCCGTTCGAAAATATGACCGTTGAAAGTAATTAAATACAAAATAATAATAAAAATGAAAACTAAATAACTCCCTTCCACTTCTTCAATCTCTGTTCTTCCCCAAAATAAAAACTTCCCTCAGTAAAAAAACAAGAGAGAGAGAGAGAGGAAGATGGGTTGTGTTTCTTCGAAACTAGTCAAGAAGAAACTCGTAAGAGATATTCGAGTCAACAATGGCGGCGATCACATAGTCTCCCTCACATCCAGTAGTTACGGTCATCTCGATCTCGACGAACGAGCGGAGACTTCTCCTAAGTTACAGGAAGTCACGAAAGGCGATGTCTTTGAATCCGAAATCAAACCCAGGAGATCAACTACACAGAGAGATGATCCGGAAGTAATAAATACATGGGAGCTTATGGAGGATCTCGAAGACTCAATGCATCCGCAGAGGATTAGCCCCAAATCTCGCGGCATTTTCGGGAAATCATGGAAGACTCCGGTGAAATCGATTGTGGAATCGCCGAAGAGGAATAGTAGCAAGAGATTTGGTGGGAAAGAAAACAGAGGAGGGAACAACTCGAGAGGTGTGAGTCCGAACCAGATTCTGAAGCCGAAGAACATTCTCGAAACTCCCAAGAGAGGCGTAATGCGTTTGAGTTTCCCTCTCAAATCGGAAGAAACTTCGGCGACGACTACGCAGAGGAGGAAGAGTTTCAGCCCAATGTTCGATCCAGATCTTGTGGCCTCCTACGAGAGGGAGTTGTCTCAAGAGAAAGAGCAGATCAAGATGGTGATTTCCCCTGTCCCGAAATCCGAGAAACCCCGAGAAACAGAGAGAATCCTCGAGAGCTTCCCTGAGAAATGTCCACCGGGAGGAGAGAACTCGGTGGTGATCTACATAACGTCGCTAAGAGGGATAAGGAAGACGTTTGAGGACTGCAACGCGGTTAGATCGGTGTTAGATTCTCACGAAGTTCGGTTCTCGGAGCGAGATGTGTCGATGCACTCTGTTTTTAAGGAAGAGATAAGGGGTATAATGGGAACGAAACAAGTGAAGATACCGGCGGTTTTCGTGAAGGGGAGGATGATAGGAAGTGTTGAGGAAGTTATGAGGTTAGAGGAGGAGGGCAAACTGGGAATTTTACTCGAAGGTATGCCCAAGGCGGGGCTCGGAGGTGGTTACTGCCGCGGATGCGGCGGGTTGAGATTTGTGATGTGTGCGGGTTGCAACGGGAGCTGCAAGGTTATGGTGGAGGAGGAGAAGAAGAAGAAGACCACTATGGTTAAGTGTTTGGAGTGTAATGAGAATGGTTTGGTTCTCTGCCCAATTTGCTCTTAAAAGATACTTCTTTTTTTCTTCATTCTTGCCGTAATTTTATGGTGAAACTGGAAGAGGGTCGACTTAATTTATGGAGGCTGACTTTGAATTTGAGGGGGTTGATTTTGGTGTGTAATGATTTGGTGAGAGAGTTTCTAAAGCTGGGTTTAGTGCTCTTGGTGTGTACTAGTAGTAATGGAATATGTTTTGTAAACGAATTATTGATTAGATCCAATTCATTTTGTACAACCATTTCGGTTTGTGTTTGGAAACGTTTTTATTTTGATACTTTTGAGAAACCGTATCTCCACCAAAATGACGGTTGCAAAGTTTGTAACATGTCGATGAAGAAATTGGTCTTTGAGCAGGAACCAATCTGTGAAAATATGATAATATAAATTATAAACTGAAGTAACCAGAAAACGGTGAACAGAGTCTATTGCTTTGACCTCTTTGATGGGTTACAAGTGTTCATGGTTCGATAATTATGACATGCAATTTTTATTCTTTTTTAATTGAATCGGGTCAGATTTCTAATCGAGTTTGGTTTAAAAGTCGGTTTAAGAATTCAGTGATCCTGATTCTTTCTTTAATGGTCTAATATTGATAAACCACATATTTCATTGATTTTTAATTATTATATTTGTTAGAAATTTAGTCAACAACATATCCTTTCAACTCTACAATAAATAATAGCATGAGGTTAGAAGACAAAAACAACGAATTTCAAATCGGATAACTTTTGGAAAACTATTTTGATTGTGTATTATAATATAAAATTATTTTTGAAACAATATTCTTAATTAGCCAAAACTACAACAAAAAAAATATTTCACTGGAAATACAAAGAAAAAAAAATATATAGCTTAATCAAAAGGAAGAAATATGGAGCAATTATATCCATCTCAATAAGGGAACTCGAGATGTTGTCTCATTCATATGATTCGTCACGCTTTTTTTTTGTCACTCCTACCAACAAAGGCAGCAATAAATAAGAGAGGAAGAACAACGAATTTGATCAAAGTGATTTTTTAATTATCTTTTTCATTTTGATCTCTTGGTTTAGTTATCTACAGTAGGTTTTCTAAATCGATATCCTAACTCAATGCAAATGAAATGGCGACCATAAGGATGTATATCGTTACTATAAAATATAAATAATTTTGAGATAATCCTAACCGATATGATGACGAAAACCATACATAACTTGGCACACATCCCCAAAGCAGAGGCACACATGTCAATGCATTGAACCTATCCACTTCCCCTTTATAACTCATAATTTCCGATCAGCTTATTCACGTAACAAAAACAATTTAGAGAAGAAAAAAAAGTAATTACAAGGCCAAAAAGAAAATGGAGCTTGAGACATCCGTTTATCGACCAAACGTCGCCGTCTACGATTCGCCGGAAGGCGTGGAAGTTCGAGGACGGTACGACCAAGTGTTCGCGAAGATTCTGACAAGAGAAGCTCTTGGATTTGTGGCTGAGCTACAGAGAGAGTTTCGTGGGCACGTGAGGTACGCCATGGAGTGCCGGAGGGACGCACGACGGCGTTACAACTCCGGCGGCATTCCAGGGTTTGATCCTTCCACTAAGTTCATCAGAGACGGTGAATGGGTCTGTGCCTCCGTGCCTCCCGCCGTTGCTGACCGGAGAGTTGAGATAACCGGTCCGGTCGAGAGGAAGATGATCATCAATGCCCTTAACTCCGGAGCTAAAGTCTTCATGGTCCATTTTCTCTATCTATATATAACGCCCTTGTTTATTTATTGAACCGGATTTTATTATCATTTTGACACGGTTTAATTGGATCCAGTTTGACTGGTTTGGCCATATTTAGACCGGTCTTTAATTGGACCGTTGGTTAGCCGAAATTGGTATACTCTTTTATATAATTCTCAAGTTTATAACTTTTAGAAA